ATTTTTTTTCCAAAATTTTACACTGTTTAGGGAATTTTTTAAAAATATTTAATCACCAATTGCTTAATGCTGGCAGACAATCATCTGACCCATAGGTGGCAGCCATCTCAAGCCAGAGGACGAGAGGACTCTAGCCGCCACGCATATACAGGATTTAGAGTGAAAAACTTTGTTTTTACGGGTTAATTTTTTTTTTTAATCCTTTATATTAAGTTCACTTGCTTGCTTGCTTGCTTACGACCGTGCAAATCTTTCGGTCGTTTTTTAACCCACTTCCCGTGATCCAATCGAGCTGACATTTTGCACACAGACTCGTTGTGCGTGACAATTTATGTTCGTGGAATTTTTTCCCCAAAATTTTACACTTTTTAGGAATTTATTTTTTATATTTAATTACCAATTGCTTAATGGTGGCAGGCAATCATCTGACCCATAGGTGGCAGCCATCTCAAGCCAGAGGACGAGAGGACTTTAGCCGCCACGCACATAAAGGATTATAGTAAAAAACTTTGTTTTTACGGGTTAATTTTTATCCGTTCAGGATAAACTCTTCTGACTCAACCGTGCCACGTCGCCACAATTACAGCGCAGTAAGTACTCAAGCCAGCGCTGCCAATGACAACGTACGTCCAAGCCTGCCAAAGCTTCCCCCAAACACACAGCACAGAGCACACACACACACACACAGACCACGATGGGCCATGTGTACGGTGCGAAAGAAGCTCAACACGCGCCGCTCAACTCGCCCGTGTCGAGTCGAAGAGCCCCAACGCGCCGTGCAACTTCTCCCGCACTCCGCCCAGCACCTCCGCGACCACCACCGTCACCACCGCCACGACCACCACCACCAGCAGCACAACGAGACCCGCACGCCGCTTGGGCCACCACCGCCACGGCCACCGCCACGGCCACCACCACCACGCCGGGCCAGAGCCGAGGGTCAACATCGGCGGCCAGAGGCGCGTGGACACCGCCAGGGGCAGCGCCACGAGGGCTGCGAGCGCCAGGGGCCGGCGGCGTTCGCGGAGCTTCGGCGAGCCACGCGCGGCTCCGCGCCGCCAGTCCGCGCTTGCACGGGTGCAGGAAGGAGCCGCAGAGAGTCGCCCAGAGCAGCGGCCGCAGGAACTGCTCGAGCAGGACGCAGAGCCAGACGGCGGCGCCGCACCACAGCGCGGCGAGCAGCAGCGCGCCCGTGTTGTAGACGGCGGCCTGCCGAGCCACGCGAGCCGACGGCGTCGTCGGTGGTGGCGGTGGCGGCGGCTGTGGGTCGCGGCGATAGGGCTGAGGATCCTCCATCGCGCACGGCCCGACCGGCTCTCGTGGGGCACGTGGGAGGGTGGGAGGGGAGGGGTGGGTGAGTGGGAGGGGTGGGGTGGGTGAGTGGGAGGGGTGGGGTGGGAGGGGTGGGTGGGTGAGTGGGAGGGGTGGGGTGGGAGGGGTGGGGTGGGAGGGGTGGGGTGGGTGAGTGGGAGGGGTGGGTGGGGTGGGAGGGGTGGGTGGGTGAGTGGGAGGGGTGGGGTGGGAGGGGTGGGGTGGGTGAGTGGGAGGGGTGGGTGGGGTGGGAGGGGTGGGTGAGTGGGAGGGGTGGGGTGGGAGGGGTGGGGTGGGTGAGTGGGAGGGGTGGGGTGGGAGGGGTGGGTGGGGTGGGAGGGGTGGGTGAGTGGGAGGGGTGGGGTGGGAGGGGTGGGGTGGGTGAGTGGGAGGGGTGGGGTGGGGTGGGAGGGGTGGGTGGGGTGGGAGGGGTGGGTGAGTGGGAGGGGTGGGGTGGGAGGGGTGGGGTGGGTGAGTGGGAGGGGTGGGTGGGGTGGGAGGGGTGGGTGAGTGGGAGGGGTGGGGTGGGAGGGGTGGGGTGGGTGAGTGGGAGGGGTGGGGTGGGAGGGGTGGGTGGGTGGGGTGGGAGGGGTGGGTGAGTGGGAGGGGTGGGGTGGGAGGGGTGGGGTGGGTGAGTGGGAGGGGTGGGGTGGGGTGGGAGGGGTGGGTGGGGTGGGAGGGGTGGGTGAGTGGGAGGGGTGGGGTGGGAGGGGTGGGTGGGTGAGTGGGAGGGGTGGGGTGGGAGGGGTGGGGTGGGTGAGTGGGAGGGGTGGGTGGGGTGGGAGGGGTGGGTGAGTGGGAGGGGTGGGGTGGGAGGGGTGGGGTGGGTGAGTGGGAGGGGTGGGGTGGGAGGGGTGGGTGGGGTGGGAGGGGTGGGTGAGTGGGAGGGGTGGGGTGGGAGGGGTGGGGTGGGTGAGTGGGAGGGGTGGGGTGGGGTGGGAGGGGTGGGGTGGATGGGGTGGGAGGGGTGGGGTGGGTGAGTGGGAGGGGTGGGGTGGGTGGGAGGGGTGGGGTGTGTGTGGTGGGTGGATGGGGTGGGGTGGGGTGCGATGCGGTGGGAGGGGTGGGGTGAATGGGGTGGATGGGGGGTGGGGTGGGGTGGATGGGGTGGGGATGGGGTGGGAGGGATGGGGGGTCACTCGGGGTGACGTTGCCGAGCACGATACAAGTCCCGGCTCGGATCGATTCTCTGTCCACGTCGTGCGAGTTGGGGAATCGCGCCTCGCACGATGCGCGGACCTTGCCGCTTCTCGGTGTGGTTGGACTGAAGCCTCTAACGTCTCTCGCTCTCTGTGGCCTCTTCTCCGTGTATGTGCTGTGACGAAGGGCCAATGTCCGAAACGTCGCCTATGATAATTTAGTTTTAAGACCGCGATGTTATTGACGAATGTTTTTTTTATATTTGTGCCCAGTACGCCACTGTCAATAGTTTTACAGACTACAATCTTTTTTTCAGTTGTAACACATTCCTGCGGAGGGAGCTGGTAGGAACGTTGGGTTGCTCGGTCAATGGCCAGGGTCAACGGCGGCGTGGTGTACTCCGCAAATATGGCCGACTGTGAGGGCGGGCACAAGCCGGCGTGAGTAGGTTAAACGTTGAGTTGTATAAGGGCACCACGGGGTGACCAGCCCCTCCCCACCCAGCCCCATCCCTCCCACCCCCCACCAGCTCCACCCTCCCCACCCAGCCCCTCCCCACCCTCCCCTCCCCACCCAGCCCCACCCAGCCCCACCCTCCCCACCCAGCCCCTCCCCACCCAGCCCCTCCCTGCACGACGGACACAATAATCCCCTGTGGGCTGGTGTAACCTGACGGTTCCTACCAGTGAAAGTGTTGCCTCTAAAAGTAACAACGTCTGCGACTCAGACCCACTACAAATGTACAGGAGTGGCTTCTGGGGCATCATGAAAAACAATGAAACACGACAAAACTGCACACCCGCAGGAGAGACTGGTGAAGAGAGGGATCATTTTTATTTCACATTTCATATCAGGCGTAAACTGAGTTCCCCGCCATTGCCATTCGTGTAAGTGACCACTTTGTCAAGGAGAAATGAAAACAACAGTTATTTCTGTCGTGGAGACATCTCATTAGTAGCATTATACCGAGAGATGAAATGGGCAACACGTGGATTAGTGAACAAATTAGAGAAATCGTAATGACGTAATAAAAACTACATTAGTGGGACACATTGCTGGCAGGGAAAATGACTGCTGGACAAGACGGCTTACGGAAGGGCTACAAAAGGAGGGATCACACGAGAGGACGACCAACTTTGAGATGGAGCCACGAGGAGAGAGCGCTAGTGTGCATCAGCGAGATGGATTGTGGCGTCAAAGGGATCGCAAGGGAGCGCGATGTCGCAAAGAGGCCTCAATCCATCAGCGGATAGATCATGATGAGACATCTTGTTTTTGCTCTCCGCGATGGGGAAAAATAAAATGTGATTTTTACACGACTCGTTATTTTCCAGTGCGTGATCACCAATACCGTAGTGACGAGAACAAGTACGAACTTTAGTGATTCTCTGAACTACACTCAGGAGTGAATGGCAAATACAAACACTGTGCTGTATATGTGGTATACCGTTTCAGAAAAGCGCGAATGTAAGCACATGTGTTTACTGGTACAACGAGTGCAGTGACCCAGATCACGCTCGCCCCACGTGAAAAGGGCCCCATTTCATCGGCAGACGAAGGCATATGGGACCACAGGGAATCGGAGGCGAATGGAGGAGTGCTGGGCAAACACGTTGTGAATGAGCGGCGATAACTGATGTTATGGCTTTGGGTCCAGTTTTTCTCTCAATCATGGCATGGCTTTGTTACTGGCGCCCCACACAAAGGCATGCAACCAGCTGCACGTCAGATGAGTAATTCACTTTGAGAATTAAATAACTCTAGCACAAAATATCCTTTCGCCAATCCCAATTTATGCTTGCTATTTTACCCATCCTCTCAGCTCCAACTGAGATACTGTCACATTTGGACGTGGTGCAAGTTAAAACAAACTTAAAGGGGCTCATCGTAATGGTCATACAAAGTTTCCAAAGTGACTCGCGGTGAGGTGTTTCATTGACATACTGAGCAGCTCCTGAGTTTGTCTTTGGTGTGTCCACACACCTGCAACCGATGAACACTGAACTCGGTTGTATTGTGCGAGTGCCGATGCCGATTTCATCCAAAAATAACGAGCGCAGCTCCGATGGTGTCTAACCCGAGCATAACTCATCAAACAGGGCTGCAAATACAAACCGGTCAGGAAGCAAAGCGAGCTGCCGGACGTGCTCGTGTTATTGCTCACATGAACCCCAATGTTATAATAGACATGATGAGATTATTACTTATTAAGAATAAATACTGCTGCGTCTACCACATCAATTACCTTCTTCTTGGTTCTTTCGGTAAAGTCACGTAGAAGGGAAATAATAAAATAATAAAAATAAAACAATAAAATAATTCTCACGACGTTTCGGCCACAACGCAAGCAGCCGTCCTCAGGTGAAGAACAGGTCTGTCGGGAAGACAGCGTCTGAATGTTCAGACGCTGTCTTCCCGAATGTTCAGACGCTGTCTTCCCGACAGAATGTTCAGACGCTGTCTTCCCGAATGTTCGACGCTGTCTTCCCGACAGACCTGTTCTTCACCTGAGGACGGCTGCTTGCGTTGTGGCCGAAACGTCGTGAGAATTATTTAATTAGGTTTTATTTTTATTATTTTATTATTTCCCTTCTACGTGACTTTATCGAAAGAACCAAGAAGATGAATCCCTGCAGTCACGAAAGCTTTAAATAGCAATTACCTTGTTAATCGACGTAGACGTGAGGCCATATTTGAGTACTGTATTCTATTTGGCAACTGTGGAACGTTATACAGTAAGAATGTATCATCCTCATGATCTAAACTACGGCTTAGTATATTGTTAAAATACCCCATCTTAACAGTGTTATACAATATATATTTTTAATTAATAATCAAATTTTTTTTTTTTACTAACTATAGTAAATATGACGTTTTTCGAGAGAACATTTTAAACATGGAAAATGTATGCAACATGCAGTCACAAGTGTGACGAGGATGGTAATGTCAACTTAATTACGAAGCACAGCCAGGTACACGAACACGATAACAGCCCAGGACAAACACTGCCCCAAAGTCTCACTGATTTAGTGAAAGCACCTCAAAGACTTGACAGTAGAGCAAGCAAGTTTGCCGTTACACTCATGAGCAGTTTGAGTGTCATCTCTCTTTCCTATGCGCGAGTTTCTCCTGGGCACTGCAGTTCTATGTACCATGCATATCTATTCCGAAGGATTTGCACGAACATCCCAAATCAGGACACTCCCAACTGTATTTAGACTCGATGAGGCAGCAGAAACGTTTCTCCACATTGTACCATAACTTTTGGAGACGTGACCACAATTATTCAACGTATAAACCGAAATTGCTATTATTAATCAATATTAATCATGGATGCATTCTCGTGCATTTCATTGCCCAGAAGGTGCCAGAGCCATTTTAGCATCAATGCGCGCACCCTTCTGGGTGGCGCTGCCTGGAAACACGGGGTGGTCTGATTTGGCACATCGTCAGTGAGGCCCACCAGGATGCATCGCGAACGTGACGCTGAGTGTGCGACGCTCACAGACAATGGGTGCGGTGGCCATGCAGGTGAGTTGCAGTAAACTGACCTACGAGAGTCGGTGACAGCGACAGCACTGACATCAGATGGGAAGGCAGGTGGTGGTTACAGGTTCCCGTTCGGGCAAGAGACAGGTGTAGTCGTAAATAGGTGGGACTAAACCCATTTATGGGTGTCGAACCTTTATTGGGCCACTGCTGCTTGCAGTTCGCGGAAGTGAATAGTCTTGCATTTGTGTCGTCGCCATTGTGGAAGCGTCGTTGGATGTGAATATATAAAGCGCTGTTTGTCACCTCGACTGCAGTGGTGGGAACAAGAGTGCGGGGTGGACCCACTTGATTAAGGAAGCCCAGCCAATCGGCTCAAAAAATACACGGCTCAGAGTAGATCACGACAGAGAGGGAGAGAGAGCTCGGCACGCGACGTATACCGAAGCGTGCCCCCCCCCCCATCCCCCCGGCCGTCCTGGTCGCGACCGTCACGGCACGCCCATGAGTGTGTAGAAGGTGATCGCCACGATGACGAGCAGGCAGCCGGGTGACGAGCACGTCTGGTAGGCGGCCGACGGCATGTACACGTCTTCGTAGCGGAAGACGCTCACGGGCGAATCTGTCACGGGCGGGGTGTCCATGTCGTGCCGCGTCAACAGCCCTGCACACCGCGGCGGCGCAGCAGGACACAGGATGCGGCGAATCTTCACTTGGAAAGTGACAGGAGGTGACATTATATTCACCGTGGAGGAGATACGCGAGATGCCACGTCTTGTTACGAGCCGTCCTCTGCCCAATTGGAGCCGAGTTAGCGTGTCTAATTCATTCATAACAAGTACTGCACAATTTACGACAATTATATGTGAAGGAGTCGCATAACAGGTGTTGGGAAAGGGAGGGTGGTCTCACTGGAGGGGAACACACAGGGCGGATTTTTAGCGTGAGATGTAGAGCAGAGGGCCTGTCGGCAGTGTAGTCACACATATGGACGCACATACAGTGGATAATTACGTCCACGGGGAAATAATAAAATGACAAGGGGAGATGACAACTACTCTTAAGTAATATTATAATAAATTTTGATTTAAAGCTTTCGTGACTGCAGGGATTCATATTCTTGGTTCTTTCGGTAAAGTCACGTAGAAGGGAAACAATAAAATAATAAAATATCAAACAATACAATTCTCACGACGTTTCGACTGCAACACAAGCAATCATCATCAGGTGTGAATTCCAGTCGAAACGTCGTGATAATTTTATTGTTTTATATTTTTTTTATTTTATTGTTTCCCTTCTACGTGACTTTACCGAAAGAACCAAGAATATAATATTATCATCTTTTGAGATACAGGAGTCTGTAATGGGGACAGATCTAGTAGGGTGACCTTCCCAGAGAATAAAGGTCAACTCAGGGAAGAACACATTTGTTGCTGGAGTAGAGGACGCTAGATAATGTGAAACTTTTAGGTGAACAGCTACAGATACTTGAGGACTGATGGCAGTCTAAGCTTTTCTTTAAAGAGCCAAAGACGAATGATCAAGACGGACCCACGGCACCGGCATCGCATTCTGACGCGCGCATGGGGAGCTCACCGTGGCTTGCCGGGCCCCAGGCCAGCAGGTAGTACCAGCTGAGGTGCAGGTCCACCATGGCGTCGTTGCGGTGAGCGGCGAGCGCGCGCTTGAAGCGGCAGGTGACGCGCCCGCTCTCGTAGATGGCCTCGTCGTCGCGCGCGGGGTTGCGTGGCTGCTCGCGTACCCACTGCCCCACGTTGTTGTAGTGCTGCACGCGCACGTGTCCATTGAAGTGCACGCACGCCATCACGTCGTCTCCACCCTGCGAGCAAAACCACGGCAAGCGTGCACTCGTTAACGACCTGCCACCTTGTGCCTGGAACAACAACAACAACAACAACTGCACGCACAGTGGATCATATGTACTGGAGTGTTGTGGTGTTGGACACAAAATACAGGGTTAGTCCAGATGTCTTGTGACCTCCATTTAATTCTCAAAAACTTTATATATTTTTTTAAAAGTAAAGTTTATTTAAAACAAATGAATATGCAACGGAAAGACGTGTTCGGGGTGAATTAATTAGTGGTCACAAGACATCTGCACCACCCTGTAGATGTTACTCTCGAGGACGCATACAGCCCTTAAGGCAATGCACTGCTGAATGAGGACCTTTCCCACACCATGTTGGTCGTGGTGGTGAAATGACCATACTTCACTAAGCTTATCAGTGCAAGCTGGTGAAGAAGCTTACAGCAACATGATGTGCATGATGGTCACCCGTCAGAGCAATCACCAGCCAACGCCTGCTTAGCTCGTGAAATCTGACGCGATTGGGCTGATTCTAGGTGATCTGGTCAAAGGTCAAAATACAATCATCAGTCTATGAGTTGTTTATTTGGCCAGGAGAACCTTGCTGAGATGCAGGTGGGTCTCTCTTTGGAAATGTTGTGAGGCTTTGATTTTATATTTAACATGCATAAGGGTGAACTTATATTCACACGTTATTGAGTAAAGAAAAATTAAAACAAATGACACCGTGTGAAATTAGTGCAGGGAAAATATCGGATGCAAAAACACCCTAACATAAATATAGCTTACAGGGAAAACCAAAGCGATGTAAATTACTTACAAAATCATCACAACGATTTTATGCAATCCTTATACATAACCGATGCGTGCAGCCGTTGAGGCAATTTAAAACCTGCCAATGATTTTTTGATATGAATTCAATTCCTGTGACGGTTTTCAAAAGGAGTCAACTTTGAAATATTGATGATGATGACGACGACGACAACGACGACGAGGGAGAGTGGTGGCTCGGCACCGAGGTCCCAGGGTGGTGGGAATGTGCAGGGGAGGGGGGGGGGCATTGAACGCCGTCAGTGAACGCCTTAGCGGTAGCCTGATTTTAGTGCCACCGCTTAATCGTGTTGTCACAATTGAATCCGATCTTGGTCAATTAACCCACTTAACTTAGTTTAAGGTGCCTGGCTGTACTTTGCTGTATTTCAGCTCATCGCACAGAACTGCGCCGGGTTTCCCTGCGTGGCGCAAGTCTGTGCATTGCAATGCATTGCAATGCATTGCAATGCATTGCAATGCATTGCACGCCGGTGTTGGGAATATAATAAATGGAAAAGTAAGCCATGAAATACATTCACATTGTCCATAATACAGGTTTTTTGGGTTAGATCGCGTAAACATTTGTGTCGATAAACCCGCCACCACCCAACACAGCCAATGAGTAAGGTTGTAAATGTTGTGGCTTGGCTCTCCAACACACCAGTGTGCTGTACTAGTAACGAATTGGCACGTTCTGTTTACGTGACAACCCTTAAGAGTTGGCTGTGTCGGGTGGTGGCGGGTTTAACGACACATTTATTTATTCGATCTAATCCAAAAAGGCATGTATTGTGGACGATATTGGTGACGAAAGCCTACGTGTTAAACTGCCATTCACATTGCTCCGCACACCAGATGTAAGTGCGGATGCTGTGCTGCTGCGAACGTTTGGATCAAGTGGCGAACGGCTGCACCGCATTCACATTCAGCTGAACAACATTCAGCTGAATGTTTCCACCTGGTGGTGATGATTTTAACTACGGAAAGGAATAGAATCTCCATTTCGTGTGGCCAGCATGAGCGTTTGGATAGGAAGATCCATTTCAAAAGTATAGTCTATGATGGCATGTTACGTGTGAGTGTGTGTAAAAAGTGTTGTTATATGTGTGTAATGTGTGATGCAGTGCATATGTTTGGAGTGTTACCTTATGCATAGCCAGCCAACCAGATGGCTCAGCGGTAGCCGCTGGCAATTGGAGCATTGCGATTTCAACTCCTGGTTGGGCATTGAATCAGCCCATCATGAGGTCGATAAAATAAGTACCACTTCGTGGGAAAGCCAACAGTGGAATTTCCACCACTTGCTCAGAGCTGTAAGCTGGAGATGAGCACAGCCTCGTTGCTCATTGGAGCAGGAAATGACTTTTACTTGTTTTTTACCTTGTGGCAAATTCCATCTGATGACCTGTCATGGGCTTTCCAATAGATAAACCCGGCTGTAAATAAGTACCCGGAGAAGATGATGTACGGACATTGCAACGTGGTAAGCCAAAGCTGACTTGGCATGATGTGCTGGTCGTGAAAACTGCTTCTTGTTTCGCTCGAGTCTGCAAGGCTAAAGGGGATGTCTCGTGCCGGTGTGTGCTGCGATATTTAGTGGTGCTCGTCACCATCAGGCGGTCAGACGAGAAGCCAACGCCCACCCAGCCGTCTGTGTCGGCGCTCAGCTCAAATTCCACATCTTCCCCGAGTCGCCGGTAGCTGAGGAAGTACTCGCACGAGTCGGCATCGCAGCCCGGAGCTCCGTACCTGCCCACGCGCACGTGCACAAACACACGCACGTGCACAAACACACGCACAGAGACCCGTGGAGCCCTCACTGGCTGTTGGGGCAAATGTTGTTGGCGATCACCTATTAAGGCCTGTAGGGCACATGAAAGGGGCGTTGTGGCCAGTACCAGTGCTGACGTGTACACATTAGATGCCAATTCAAGGATGAGTCAACCTAGGAGAGGTTCCGATATCGCTCGTAACTGATGATCGCCCTGGCTGCGAATCGACCTCGGGTTACCAAGTTCATAATGCAGTGTGATAACCACTACGCCATCACTCCCATGACATGCACATGGACACACACTAGGATGTCAGATCAATATGTCCCTATCACTCACCACTTTGGCAACGCTGCTAAACTGCCTCCTCTGCTGTTTGGAACTCCCTCTTCTTGGCAATCGGAACATCGTGTTTCAGTTATGATTTTATTTCCTTGCACCAGATAACGTTATTCATATAGACCACCATGGTGAAGTATGGTCAAACAACCCCCATGGCCGACACAGCATGGACGGGCTATCATCCAGCGGTGGATTGAAATAAAGAGGCTTAATATTTACAATTCATAATTCTAAATCCTTCCGCCTCCCCCTGTAACATTTCCGCTTGTATATAATGCTGCCCCCTGCATGTAACACATGGGAGCAAATACACGTCCAACGTCGCCCTGGCAGAGGCAGGCGTTTGTCTCAATTGTCTCTCACCTCGCATAACAAAGAACTAAACTTTCACCGATCGCGATGGCCCGAGTCCCCCCGCCGCCCACCTGAAGCATCCCTTGTCGATGCCGCAGTCGTCCGAGCGGATCGGCACGAACGGGTCAAGGGGTGGAGGAGAGGGCAGCGGTCGATCTGCACGTGGAAATGGGGACACGCGGAGTGGTAGCGGAGGGTGGGGGGGGGCACGGTAGTGTAGTCGTTAGCACGCTGCGCTACGAACCCGGTGACCCGAGTTCAATTTTCCGCTCACGGCCAACATCGGTGACGAATACCTGTACGGGTCCTGGGCCTCCACTAGGTCGACTCAGCCTCAAATTCGTACCTGGTGTGGTGTGTAAACATCGCCATTAGGGAGGCAAAGACGGCCGGGCGTGGTGCTGGCCACCCTATGAAGGCCGTGTCGGCCTTGATAGGTGCACACTAACAGCACTTGCTCTAACATTCTGTCAAGCCTATACGGAGGATCTTTGTCTTGGAGGGGGCGGTGGGATGGTGGGGGGTTCCTTAATGGCAGCACTCGCACCGTGCATGCATTTCGTGTTTCAATGCTTGCATCGTCATCATTGTCACCTGCTTCTTCCCCGCAGTGCTCGACTTTGGATTTCCCATCCCGTTGTCTCAGGTTGAGCTTGCTCAAGTCAAGAAATATATTAACTCCGATCTGTTACACTTTTTATCGTGCCGTTTGTTGCTGGCTTCTCGGCCTCTTGAACCTCTGGGGGACTATGTTCGGCGACCGCGATTACAAGAAAAATGATCATGAACATCCATGGCCTGAATTTCGATTTAAAGCTTTCGTGACTGCAGGGATTCATCTTCTTGGTTCTTTCGGTAAAGTCACGTAGAAGGGAAGTAATAAAATAATAAAAATAAAACATAATAAAATAATTCTCAAGTAATAAAATAATAAAAATAAAACATAATAAAATAAAATAATTCTCACCGATTTTCCCTTCTACGTGACTTTACCGAAAGAACCAAGAAGATGAATCCATGGCCTGATGCATGCCTGCCTACCTCTCTCCTCTCACTCGACTTCCCTCTCCTCCATTAACCAAGGCTTTTGTGGAAGCCCCCCCACCCACCTCCATTCAACCCTCGCTCATTCTCCACTGCTGCCCCATAGTCTGGAGCTCCCTTCCCCCAGCCATCTGTTTCGTGGACTCCCTTGCCCTTGTTCGAAGTCCAGGCTCAAGACCTTTTATTTCTTCCTTCCGCCTAAAATGAGTGCCTCTTTGTCTCTATTCAATAAATAGGCCCACTGTTTCTGAACAGCATCTTCAGATACAGTGGATGTTACATTCTATATATATATCCACATCGTATTGTAAATTGTAATGTAGAAGTACCGATTTTCATGTATGGGCACTGCCTGGATTGTTTAGTAAACATCTCTCCATGCTTTCTTATCTCCATGGCCATGCTGTAGGATTTTACAACGAACGTTGCAGCTGTATGAACTGCAAGGGACAGACGATTTTGATGGCCACTGGAAATGTATGAATGTAGTATTAAATTAAGTGGATGCGCATACATGAGCAAGGCACGGATGCAATCGGTTCCCCCTGTGGCTGGCACATCCCGTGCTGTTTCATTTCGGCTTGTGGAACAATCATCAAGTCGAGGTTATCGAAGCTGCGAGCTTCCCACACCGTATTCCTCCCTCGTGCACCACGCAGCGTTGAGTCAATACATCACAGCTGTCAGTGCCAGCGTCCACTGTCGCTAAGCAGAACTCCAGTTTTTTCAAGACACAAAAGCAAATTTGTGAATTCTCTTTTTTTTTACAATACTTGTGTCTCGGTCTCACTGTGCGCTGCGTTGCACCACTATCCGAGTAGACTTTCAGAGCCAGGGTGAACATCCGACTCCAACGTATTTAATGAATAGAACGAGGTAAAACTGATGGAAAAACACAGCACAAAATACAGCATCTGTTAATACGGAGGGTGGCCCGTAGATCTTGGAAAATGCGTTGGAGCGCCAGTTGTAGAGTTGACCGGTCCGCCCGTGGGATGGTGACAAGGGCAGCGAGGGCGTCATCATCCAGGGCGGCTGGGAGTGCCCGTAGCGACTCCTCCTCCTCTGTCCACCCCGCCATTTCGTGGTGGGCGAGGAATCGGCGCTGGAAGGCCGCCCAGTCGCTCCTCGCCGTGGAGAATTCTTTCAAGACGGGTAGGCGCTGCTGAAAGGACGGCGCGAGCTCCATGGTCAGCCGCTCCTCTCTGAACTTGGCGCCCCCGCCAGCAAACAAGATGGCGGCCCCCGGTCGCTGATCACGCTGTCGATGATGCGGCGCTCTCTAGTGCATGGTACACGTGACTTCCGGCGGAAGCTCCTGTGCTCTGGGCGGGAGATTCAAAATCTTCTGCCGGATCGGTGGCGGGAACGGCCGTTGGTCGCAGACCCGCTCCGTCTTCTTCCTCCGCCGTGATAAGTTTCTTCGAGGATGTCGGCCGCAGCGTAGAGAAGCTCGGAGAGGCAGGAGTGCATAGCTCAGAGCGCACTCCCCGATGTCGGCGATCCGCCCGATGGCTGAGCTGGCTGCTGCTCAGCCGGCAGCATCTCGCTGTCCTCCGCCGGGTTTTGCGTCCCTGCGGCAGCCGAGTCGTCGCCGTCTTCGCCCGGGCTCCTGGTCCGCGTTTTCCTCCTTGTCTCCATACTAATGTAGCCACTTCTGACCCCAGTTGTAGTGGGTAAATAACTGGAGAGTTTATTTGAGGCAACACGGTTTATTAACAGTAACTGCTAACACAAAGGGGTAACGGCCCCTTACACCCGATACGCTGAGGAGGTAGCCCCTCCAGACAATGTACGCCTCTCGCTGACTAATATACATCTTCTTGAGTGAGGCTCCAGTCTTCACTGGTATAAGCTGGAGTCGACCCTTGCCAGGGGTTCGGCTCTGCTCCTTGAGCTCTTCTCTTCAGGAGTCCTCTTCAGTCTTCAGGCGAACGACGACTGCCGGGACCGTTCAGAGGTCCGGCTTTTATACAGAACCGTGGCTCGCTCCGCCCCGGCCACACCTTCCTTCTCGAACCTTCCAACAGGACCTGGGCGTGTTGTCATCCCACAGCCCCCTCCTGTGGTCTGGGATCTGCATGCCGTTCCATAGGGGTTACCGTTGGGCCCTGTGGGCCATAGTCCCTTAACACTGGGGCTCAGCCCCTCTTCTGCCCCCTATTGGCATGTGGCCGGTACTACCGGCTCACTGCGTGGAGATGGCGCATCTTCGCCCACTAATACCTTTACACTTGCAATATCGATACAATGAATGAACACAAGGAGCATCATCACATTGTCTTAGCTTCTTGTTTCTTTCGGTAAAGTCACGTAAAAGGGAAGTAATAAAATAATAATGTTTTATTATGTTTTATTTTTATTATTTTATTACTTCCCTTTTACGTGACTTTACCGAAAGAAACAAGAAGATGAATCCCTGCAGTCACGAAAGCTTTAAATCGAAACATTGTCTTAGATAACATGAAACTCAACAATTGGTCCTGGATGGACCAGGCACCTACATCAGCACTGAATAGCTACACAAGAGAATAAGCTACTGTGTTTAATAAGGTCACTTCGTGTAATCACCATACTGCAGCATAAATGTGCAGCGCTGCACATAACACTGAGCTGTGGATGAGATACTTCTTCATCCTTGCTCTCAAGATCTGACTCGATTTATTCAATTACAAGTAACATTCACAATAATGCAAGTGGCAGGCTTCGTTGTTAACTAGGCCTCATATGTATAATAACAATTTAACGGCATTATAAAGACTTTTACGGCATTATAACGGCAATCCTAGCATTATAATAACATAAACGAACCTACAGCCAATGCTTCTTAAAGTCCCACAATGAAGAGATGCACCTGTCTTCACTGAGACGCTATTTGTGACTTAATTTTGTACTCTGTGTAATGGCTGACACCCTGCCTCATGGCTTAGAGAATGTTAAATCGTCACTTCCTGGTCACGCGACCAAACTCAACACTTTATCAGGAAGTTCCTGTGTAATCAACACCCCCATACTAGCCATGGGGCAGAACAACTTGCATTCATTTCTGCACTGTGTTCAGCAGCCAACGACGATATTATTTTTACACCATGAAAATCTTTGATGGCGGAGCAAGGAGGAGCGCCAGGCACAGACGACTAACGTTACATCAATTTACGCCTCCATAGCAAAATTGTACGTGAGAGACAGTCGATCGAAAAGCCATGAGTGTGGGTGACATGAGAGCGAGCTCTTCAGCCCTTGGCACGGCTATGCCAACAAATGTGCACCATGTGCCATCTCTACGGGGAATGGAAGGACATCATCCTCAGTCAGCGTCACCGCTTGACAAACGTTTGCGGCGCTTTGCCGCTCTCACAGAGCGAAGATGCATATTTTCACAAAAAAATATTTGGTGATTCCACGTGGCCAGATGTGCACAAGCACAAATAAAAAAAAACTCAACTCATTCGTCAATAAAGCTTCAGATAAAATTGTAATATGTCCCCTAAGGTTTTTAGGGCAATGTTTTAGGGCAATGTTATTGACGAATATGTTCACTATTTTATTTTTGCAGACAGAGCACGTGCAGTTCCTCTTAAATAATTTATGACAGCAATTATTTATGCAACCAGGGAAGCCTCACGAAGTCTTCAATGTTTGTTCTTTCACGAGGATCCTGCTGCTTTGGATATTTTACCAGCTGGCCAATCACCTAATTGCTTGGCCTCTTACCACCACGTTCTTGCCCCGCGTGTGTCTGTCGCACAAATATATTGGCTGCATCTCTGTGTGATCTATCAACCCTCACTTGAAGTCACGAGATTACAGGAGTGCACCACCACACCCAGCATGTGATGGCAGAGTATGGAATAGTCAATACTGGAGTTATGTTGCCAGGAAAGACTCCGGATCAATAGATGTGAAATACGTATTGTTGAAGCCCATAATTATTCAGCTGAATTTACTGCACTTTATCTAATGGGCTGTTTCACGGTATATAACTCGCACTGGGGAATACAGAGCTGTAGCCTGGTTCATTTTGTATAACTACTGCAAACATACCATAACATGTGTAATGCGCAGCAATATGATTGAAGTTACGCTGCGTAGGTGAGAAAACCATATATATTATGTTCACTGAAATAAGGAAAATAATAGTTGAAGGTACGCAGCTAGGGAAGCACAGCAGAGCATGTAAATTAGGGGCAAATATTGAAGATGGACCAGGATTAAAATAATAACAATAAATAGGTGAGTGAGGACAGGATGGGGTTGGGGTATTTTTTGGAAATTACATTTGTTCGGGAAAAGGCAACATCCAAATGTGACTACAGAAAAAAAAGTGTTTAGGTTAGTGCATGTTACCTCCTAAGACAGGAATGTGAAACACAGACCGACAACCAATGCGGAATTCAAGTGAAGAACAAGCATCAAAGAAGCAGGGAGAGATGCATGCTTGGAATTACATTGAGATGCAAGCAGAGCAGCAACGTGGATCAGAGAACAAATGCCATCGAGAGACACAATTTTTTGATTGGTAATAAAAAGGAGTGGGACTGGGCAGGACGTATCAGTGGACGGGACAATCGCCGATGGACGTGACTCGTAATCGATTGGCAGCCAAAGCTAGGAACACAGACGAGAGATCGACCACTGCGGAGATGGAGCGACGAGATGGAGCGCCGTGCACAGCAGCGAGAAGGATTGTCTGTCGGGGGACTGTGAGGAATTGTGAAGATGTGGGGAAGCCTCCACTATATATTTTTCCACTTTGAATACACTTTAAGAATCAAAATGAGCTAAATTTGCTTCTTCGTCCGTAGTTATGATAATGGGCCATAGAGTGCAGAGTTTGGTCGAAATGCGTATATCGTGAAATTGACAATGCATGTGAGCTCACCACTCCCCTGTCAGGTTATTTTTTCGTCACAACCCAATAAACTTTTAATGTCAGGAATGAGCTTTTAAGTAATGACTGTAATAAAATCGCCACTAACCCAAAACATGCCTCGATGACAATAAGAGTATCAGACCCATACCATGGTGCCTAACTCAGTAACATGCATTACAATTTGGGCGTGTGTGTGAATGCAGCCAAGCGATTAGTGTATTTGCCAATGCCGCGCTGTGTACCCATACCGTCCAATTAATTCTCAAATGGACAACGCGTGGAGCCCAAGCACGTGACGTGATGAACAAATAATCGCACAATTACACAACTTGCTGCGAGAAGGGGTGGAGGGGTGGCACAGTGGTGAGCGCACCACACTACAAACCCAGCAACCCGAATTTGATTCCTGGCCATGGCTAACATCAGTGACAAAAGATAACCGATCTGGTCCAGGATCCCCTCTTTCATACACCCGCACTGACCCGCTGAGTGAAGTATGGTCAAATAACCCCCCCCCCCCCCAATAACTGACAAGGTGTGGGAGGCTTTCATCCGGCAGTGGACAAACGGAAGGGCTGTGCATTACTATTATACTTTCGGAAGATTCCCATCAGTGGGGATGAGGCGAGTTTGTGTTCATCAGGGATGATCGGTTTGCACTTTGCGCGACTAAGCAACTCACGCAGCTTCATAATTAAGCCATCAAATACATGTCGGAATGTCGACAATTGTTGTCAAATGTTAATGCTGATTAATCAGTTCTCTATTTTTGATTTGCCATTCATAAAACCAAAACAGTGCTTATTAAAATAATTGTGTCTGTAAGCAGCACGACTCGGCCCTGCTACGAACGTCGGACAGATTGCATTGATCACAAAGCCTGAGAGGGGTGGGGAATCAACCTGATGATGGTCCCTACACGCAATTGCAACAGCAGTGGGTGAGATTTCAGAAGGCACGATTTCAAATGATGCCCAGTAATGAATACAAAGCAATGCAGCGGAACGTAAGAGAACACAAATAATGTTTTCAACTGTATAACATCAGCAATGGCTGCGGCTAAAAGTCACACTGACCACAACGGTACATTGAAGACCGGTTTACGAGACATACACAATGCTTGTAAATAAAAAAAACAGTGAGAAAAAGTCAGCAGTTGTGATTAAATAAGACTAATATTTAAACAAGACGTAGTGACAACTGCATACATATGCATTTGGCATACGAAGAGCAGAATTCCTTCTGGATATTACATATGCGTGCACTTACTGCGGACAACGAACAATACCGTATCCCAATAAATCCATTCACGGTGGATTTTATTGCAACCAAAATAAATAAACTATTAAACTACTGTTAATCTTTCCGTGCACAAACGTTTGGTATCCTAAATGAAGTGGAATTTCCCAAATGTTCCGTTTATCCCGCATCCCTCCGAATACTCGAAGAGACACGGATCTCCTTTGCAAGAGATGTTTGTGACTGGAATGGGATCTCACCCAGTTCAATTAAGACGACTACAATCTCCCAGAAGAGTAAAAGAAAAATCATTACATACAAATGTAGATATTATCAATCTTGATTTGAAGCTTTAGATATAGATATTATATTTTGAAGTTGGTTGAATAAAACGTGTAGACTAGTTTCAGTACTGTACGTAACACCAAATTATTCATTGTAATGTAACTACATTCATAATATTTCAGTTGTACCATTAAAGGTACCTTACATAAAACAAAATATGTAAGCATTCGTTTTTACTTTTTGTTTGTACCACGTTAGCATTCACAAACCAGATTGTTTTCACTGCACTAGTGTATGTTAATGTGTGACGTTAGCCCTAAGCTATTAATACACATTGCGCGAAGTTTCCGGATTGAAACCACTCGATCTTGGAGGTCATGATAACCCCCCCCACCCACACCTTGTTCAAGAGATTAAACTATGCGTCGGGCAGAAGGCCGTATCCGCTTGACGAAAAGATGGCATCAGCGGTCAGTTATCGGCAAACATGGACGGGAAAAAAACAGTTTACGCCAAAATTCAAAGCAAGCAATAGGCTCTCACATGGAGAAGTTACGGCACAACCTTCACCCACCTTCTTCACCGATGACGTGTGAGCTGAACAGCTCCCGGGTGAATGAGCTGAAGCTGTGGCTCTCGAGTCGCTCCCCGTGCCAGGGGGCAATCGGTGGAAGCTCCATCTGTTCATTATTCTGCTCCTCCTGGATCTCCTGGGACTCCTGCATCTCTCGTGGCCGTTGTATCTCCTGCTCCTCCTCGATCCCCTGCTTCTCCTGGTAATTTTGAACCTCTTCGAACTCCAGTTCCACCTGGATCTCCTGCCCCTCCGGCTCCTGCTCGATCTCCTGATTTTCCGGGTACTTTTGAACCTCTTGGAACTCCAGTTCCACCTGGATCTCCTGCCCCTCCGGCTCCTGCTCGATCTCCTGATTTTCCGGGTACTTTTGAACCTCTTGGAACTCCAGTTCCACCTGGATCTCCTGCCCCTCCGGCTCCTGCTCGATCTCCTGATTTTCCGGGTACTTTTGAACCTCTTGGAACTCCAGTTCCACCTGGATCTCCTGCCCCTCCGGCTCCTGCTCGATCTCCTGATTTTCCGGGTACTTTTGAACCTCTTGGAACTCCAGTTCCACCTGGATCTCCTGCCCTTTCTGTATCTCCTGCTCCTCCTCGATCTCCTGCTCCTCCTGCATCTCCTGCTCTTCCCCTTGCTGCTCCTCCAGCTTCCCGTCTCCCTCTGTCCGCCCCCCCTCGTCCCCACGTTCCCCGTGTCGCTCGACCGTTTCGCCGTAGTCGCTCTCACCACCCTCCATCATCACCATTACCATCATTTCTCCGTCCTGCTTGTCATCTTCATGGCGATTTCGCTGCTCATCTTCTCCCAATAGCAGCAGCGACTCCAGGGACGGGAGGAAATTCGGATCCCCGACGAGGAGCTCGGGGTCACTGCTCCTGGCGGGGTCCTCCTGCTCCTCCTCCTCGTGTTGCCGCTGCCCAGGGTGGTCCTGCTGCCGCTGCTGCGTATCCCCCGCCGCGCTGTTGTAGCCGGGACTCACGTTGCGGCTGCTCTCGCCGGCACCAGCCCCGCCGGGCCACGCGGCCGAACTCTCCGCGGAGTCCGAGGCCGAGAACGAGGCGGGCCGCGGCTGCAGCCGGGAGCTGTCCGGGGTACCGGCCGCGCTACCGGTCGCGCTGCTCGCCGCGCGCTGCGTCGTCAGCCGCCACCACAGCAGCAGCAGCAACAGCGGAGGAGGAGGCAGCGGAGGAGGCAGGGAGAAGAGGAGCGGACCGAGGTGCGAAGCCATGGCGGAGAAGGGGGAGGCTGCGGCGGCCGCTTTCGATGCCCCCGGCTACTCGGACGCGGAGCGAGAGGAACGCGATCTCCGACACCGACCGGAACACGAATCCGATACAAATCGGATGCGGAACGTGTCGTTTCCTCCGTAGCTCCAGACAAAAAAGCCTCAAATTGCGCTTATTTATTTATTTACTATTCCCATTAGACTATGACCGGAACCATTATTAGTGCTCGCTGCTGATATTAGGGCCGCTTCAGTCCACCGTGTTCAGCAGCAGCAGCAGCAGGTCGCGTCATCACAGCGTCGTTGTATTTGAACGCCTTCATTTTCCCCGTCGTTACTACTGCAGCGTTGCCCCCATTGTTCGCGATTTCAGTCGCCGCTAGAATTTGGTTCGAAGCCTCTTCGCCCTTACGCTGCTAACGGCGGCAGCGCTGCCATGTGCGCGCTGAGCTGTGGAAGAAGCAGCGACGCCCACCAGTCCCGCGCGGCCACTCCCGCAAGAGGCGCTTTTGTTTCGTAACGGCCATTGGCTTCTGCTGCCATGCTGCCTTCAGAGTTCAGAGGGCTTCCCGAAGACCACGTGCGCGGTGTGGGACGGACGGACGGACAGCGGCCCCGCGTAGCGCCGGGGCTGCTCGAGGGGGTTGAGCCCCCACCGAGCTGAAGCTTCAGCACCCACCCCCAACCTCCAATGCTCTCGCATAATGTCTGTGATGCAGTCATTTTTAGTCTGTTGATGGTCGGCGACGCGGCAATCGACTCATCTCGACTAGCTGTACACGATGCACTGTGGTACATCGCGGAGTGTGGCACTGATTTCAGATTGATTGATACCCCAGTCGCGGAGTTAAGTACACACCCCTGGAAAAAATATTGTCCCAGAAATAAAAATAATAATTGCGTCGGAGTTTTGTATTATTTGGTACCCCCATGAGCATCAATTGTTGTAGTTAAGTCAGCAACTGTTGGGCGGAAAATTACGGATGTCGCAGCCTTTCCTCGTATGTAGAGTGTATGAGAACGAGAGCAGAGTGCACGATAGAAGCAGATCGTGTCGTTGTTCATTTCTGTTAAGAATTTTAAATGTGTAAAGTTTGTGTAACACTGTACGTTCCTTGGCCACCACTGTGATGAATTGATTAATTACGCTTGTTTGCCCGAGGACAGCCTCACTGTCGACTTTTTAAAAGAGGGTTCTGCCAAGTTTTCACTGCAGCTGGACAATGTTGCTATGTGTAAGCCAAATTGAGTACTGTAATTTACGGGTAATGCTTCAGTCTTGGGATGTTTGGCCGATACCGGTTGCATTGTGTTTTCAGCTACAGGAGGAACATGGAGAACCCGGAGGAAACCCCTTGCAGAGAGGATACAAACTCGACATAGATAGGAGGCCGAGTAGGGAATCGAACCCAGAAGTTTTTGTTTTGCTGTAAGGCACAATTGTTACCACTGCGAAACACATGAACAATACACCAAAATACCCCAGCCGACCAAGGGCACAGCTTTGGCTTAGCATATTTAAAAATTAAGACATTTGAATATGCATCTTAAACAATACGCGAACATGTATTTCCAAGTGATGTTTTTTAACATTTATTACGGTCGGCAGAGGAGTGTTAGATTTTGTTGTATATGCCATGAAAATTACTGCACTGCAATGTTTGCATTACATAATCCGACTGAACAGTAAACATGTGATGGCAACCATTTAATGATATTCCCGTTTTTAATAATATGCTACACATATCTGTCAACCTACCTTATTACAGACCAATTCAAACATTATTGGTCACCCCGTGCCTTTATAAATCTCAACGTTCATCCTACAAAGTCCCATCACAAGGGAGAAAACTAATTGACAGTAGATAATTATGTTTTTGCCCGTATTGAAAAGGTTGTACGCCGTATGGACCTGAAAACTCAATTCCCCCTGTACAAGAATACGGGTAACCCGTATGGGTTGACAGCTAAGTGCAACATAATAGCGTGGCCTCGTGGTAATGTTTGCTTCACAGCAACAAGGCCCTATGTTGTATTGCTGACTCGAGCGCCTTGTGGAGTCTGTATGTTCGCCCCCTATACAATGTAATTGGCATTGGCCAAGCATACCAATTCTGAACATTTACCGGAAAATTACTCAATTGGTATTATACGCAGCAGCAACATCGCCCCTACTGCGAAAACTTGACAGGACCCTCCAACAAAAAAAAGTCTTCAGGCTCTCCTGGGTACATACTCGTAGTAATAATAGAACCTAGCGCAGCAATCTTCACTTATTTTCACCAACAAGATATCAATGTGAGGGCCGCCACACCGCCTGCACGTCAGGGGCCACACTAAAGGCCACCAGGGGCCGCCAGTGGCCTGCGGGCCTTGCAATGAAGAACACTGGTCTAGCGCAGGGGTCCCCTAACAGGCCACGGTCCTGACCGGTCCGTGGCCTGTTATGAACCGGGCCGCACAGCAGCAGGAGGTGAGAGCGGTGAGGCCACGCACGTGGTCCGCCCCCATTTTATTATTCCCCACTTCCGTCCGCGCCTCTTTCCCGCACTGCGCACTTGTCACAGTTTGGTGAGCCCACAAGCTGCTAACCCCTAGTAGCCAAAATGAGTCAAGAACAAACGTCGCTGGAGAGCTTCTTTGAAAGGGGGAAAACCAAATGATGACCCCCCCCTCCCGCCTGTGAAAAAATTGTCTTCCACGAAAGAAACCGGTCCCTGGTGCCAAAAAGTTTGGGGACCGCTGGTCTAGCGTATCGGTCGGTGGGACCCCTCCCTCCGCAGGGTGCACGCACACACGCAACGGGAAATTGCTAGTTACCTTATATCCAGGGAAATCCCACTGGGTGTCAATACGTTTTCAGCAGGATTATACTTGACATGTTTGGCCAGCTTCCTTGAGGACGTCTGCACGTGAAGAAACGATGTCCAAAATAAACCCATCGAAAGGAGGGATAAGTATAATCACTCAAAATTAATCGAGATATGTTACAGACCTTGCACTGCAGTACTGATCTCGCTCTCGTGCCTCACATAGACACATCACTGCCCCTGCTGGTGAGTATTCCAAGCACATCACCTCATTGCAACCCACGAACCACAACTTGCACGTCTCCGCATTGAAGGCATGCGCCACCAAACCTGGGGCTGGCCACGGGCCAGGCTCCCAGTGGCAACACAAAGGGCCGTAGGGCCCTAACCATGGCCTGGACAGAAACTCCTTGGCCCTCGTGATCCGAGCCTGCGCCCCTGTGGTTCCTCGTGAATAAATGCATATTAAGCACTCGACAGATGCCAGCTCATTAAAATATTATTGGGTCCCTTCTGCTCCAAATGTTTGGACGCTGCCACTGCAAGCTGCACGAGCTCGCTGGGCAGACCGTGTCACCAATAGTATAATAAAGCCTGCTCACCAGGGCTCGCCGGGCGAGACAAACCAGCAGATGGTACGGCCCATTTGGAAAGTGTAACGCCTTGAATAGCATGCAAAGGTGGGTCCCTTGGTGTACGATGCATCACGATTCACACACAGCCGTCGCCGCTGCTTAGGTTAAAATATTGTATATTTCATAGAAAAGCGATACATTATCTCTGCGGCAATGTGACATCAATAACATCCGCGTGATTACCAACAGTATGAAAAGGTACAATATATGGCTACGAAATAAGTGATGCAACGAACATGAAATTCTACATACAAACGGCAATATTCATGTATACTGTACATCTAAATAACTTACATCTAAATACCACTTTACATCAATGAAATGACACGTCGTGTTTTAGTGACCGTTCTACAGCATAGCCTACGAACCAGAAACAGAACATGTACGATCATTGTTAACCCACGAGACACTTCACGGATAAGTGCTTGTTTATCAAATCTAAAAGGATGTTTTTTTGAGGTGCACAATGATTAAAATACAGGTCACCAAAACTACATCGTTTTGTGAATCTTGTCATAACATTAAACGTATGTGTGGTTACGTAAATTCATAAACAACCCTTTTTGCATGAAAGATTACAGTAAACATAACCTCCCTTTGGGGAGCCCCCCCCCCCCCTCCAATGCCACACCTTTTTTTGTACCTGTTAATGTCTCAACAGGGACAGCCTGTTCATTGTGAATGTTGTTTAAGCATAGATAACAATTTGTAATTAAATGTGTCCAGGAAGTTTCACTGAATTTCAAGGCTCTTTCAGCGACAGTCCCTGACGAGGATGTTTGGCCAATTTTTATTCGTGTAATTTTGCACGTGGGTGCCCAGGAGAGAATTCACACGTGCACCTTGCACGGCACTAAAGCTGACGAGACAGGTCAGCAACCTAGCTGCTGTACTGTATCATACAGGCACCACACTAACACACATTTGATTCATAATCAACGTTTTTGGGTTTAGATCGCGTTGATTATGAATAACATTGGTCGCGAAAGCCTACGTGTTAAACTGACACATTTTATTGCTGCATGATCAACCAACCCGACCTTCAGATTTGCTTTTAGCCATCGAACAAATGCGGTCACTGCTTCGCACCCTTTCAGATGCGCTTCTGTGACCATCTGGAACGCTCTTACAATATTAGGAGCTATGCACTTTTAAATCTAGATTTAAAACTAATTTCTTTAGAACAGTTTTTTGTTTATTTTTTTGTCCTTCCCCTGCACATCCGATTAGCACGGTTGGCTACGTATGGTTGGCTACGTACGGTGCAAACTAAGTTCAACGTACATACGTACATGCTGTATTACAGGTGCGTGTCACCATACCAGTCGATTCCAGTTAGGTGCAATTTGCCTGAAATGTCCATCTCATCGCATTGGAGCTCGAGCCAATCGTGATAGGATAGCAAATCATGGCGGGCCTCCCATCTCTTACCAAGAAGCATCCCTCACAGGAAGGCTTGGCCACTAACTCACAGGTGGGGTATCCACACGCGTGGATTGATGCAAAGTGCATCAGCGTGCCTTTAGGAGAGCATGGCATAGCAGAGATAGCGTGGATAAGCATAATTGTTCATTGCCATCGTCTGGGCAGATGTCTGGTGAATGCATGAATACGATGTCTTGTCTGTCTTTAAGTCTTACGTTGAAAAGATGACCAAACTGGCGGACAAAAACCTATAGTAATAGGTTTTTACCCTTTCAACTGGTACAAAAATTGATATCTTTATACAAGGGATCATGTTTGCAATAACCACAACACAAGCAGTCAAAATGCCAAAAGGCGTCATCTGGTCCAACACCAATGGAGACTAGGCTATAAGAAAAGCTGTCTCGGGTGTGGACCAATCAACTTCAAGGACAGTGCATATCATTATCATTATCAGAGTTGTTTCTTTTTGTTTGCATTTTGACTGCTTGTGTTGTGGTTATTGCAAACATGATCCCTTGTATAAAGGTATCAGTTTTTGTACCAGTTTGAAAGGGTAAAAACCTATTACTATATTTTGCCACTGGTAAAGGAGATGTCTCATAGAGGACAAAAACCTCTCACTGCAGACGTGATCCCTGCATACAGTTTGTGTGAGCTCTGCAAAAGTAAGGCAAGGTAAATGTTCAGCGACAGAGGCAGTTTCGCAGGTGTGTCCACGACACGCGTGTGCTTATGAAGAAGAGTCCCTAATGAGTGGAATTGCAAGGTTATTCATTCCGAACACCTACCACTGTGCACATACTACGCTGATTACAGCGCAAGTACTCTAGCAATACTCATTTGGGTGTGAACATACTACCAACTGTACCATGGCTGATCTTATTAACACAACACAGCAGATAATATAATGTGCATAATTAAACATTTTCGTCACACTGCAAGAAAATGGACGACATTAATCACGGATTGTGTGGGAAAAAAAACAAATGGTTGATGGTGTAAAGTGTTAGCACGGAGAGTTTAAATTTTCCAGAAGCATGGCCTAAAGTTCTGTCATCATTACTCTCCTTGGTTTAACTGCTTTTGCTGCTCCAGTTCTTTGCCAGGACACCCTGTAATCAAAAACAAGCAGCGAGGGTGAGAGTCGTTTATATATTGTTTATGGATAGAAACAACAAAAATACAATTCATATATTTGAGTTAAACGTTGCTACTCTAGAGATGATCCTCATGGCGGTACCCCGGAGTACCAAATAATACAAAATGACCGAGGCAATTAAATATTTTATTTCTGGGACAATATTTTGTTTCCTAGGGGGGTGTACTTAACTCCGCGACTGGGGTACCAATCAATCCGAAATCGGTGCTACTCTGCGATGTCGAAACGCAACGAGGACGATTGCGCTGAAATCCTGAACGCTCTCGGCACGCACCAGAGTGCATCGTGTACAGCTCGTCGAGATGAGTCGATTGCCGCATCGACGACCATCAACACAGACTAAAAGTGACTGCATCACGGACATCGTGCGAGAGCCGGGGTCCTATAGACACCCTGGGGTACCGCCATAAGGTTCAGATATCGAATAAACCTAATATAGATAGATTTTACAAAATAATTATTTCGATAATCACTTTGGCTGTGAAGTCCACCTAAAAAATAGAAAACATGAATGAATGATGCTGTATTGGTAGTGGCGCACAATCGCGATTAACAGAAACTGAACACGTTCCTCGTTGATTCTTTCGTACGGCTGCTGATGTAGATGCAGAGCATCAACGACAATTTCACATTCAGGTGGTCAACCCAGATAAGACTGCGTTACGAGGAAGAAGATACAATGGGTGACATGTCAAACAATGGCGCTCTGTGCTATAAAGAAGGGCCATTGTTCGAACATTTGCCGATGAGATGTTTCCTTTTAAGGCAGTGCTATGGAAGTTTTTTTTTTATGAAACGTAAATCAATCAATCTTTATTCACGTGCCAATATCGCCCTCAACAAAGTAGGCATGAGTGCACATTAATGGGAACGGTACAGGGGTTTAGAGCAACAGCAATGAGCCAAGAAACCCATCACGCCATTAGCGGCTAACACCGACGGAGCAAAGTAAATTGCAACCGCGTGCAACCAATAGCATGAGAAAGGTAAGTGGTAAATACATTAAATAAGAAGTATTAGAAATATATTTTCTCTATTTATTTTTGTTTTTATGGGAAGGCAAGTCTGAATAGAGGTGTCTTGTACAGACCATGCAATTGAATTATACAAATCAGAAAACTATATATATATCCAGGAATACACCATTTAACTTAAATACAGTTTTTTTTTCCCGGAGGGTTCTGCATTAACATGTCTGGTCAATTCCTCACTGAGCACGCCGCTGATTTGTAACGGATGAGATGCCACCACATTAATTCTAGATTTAAAGCTTTCGTGACTGCAAGGATTCATACTCTTAGGTTATTTCGGTAAAGTCACGTAGGTAAAAAATTTAAATAATAGAAATAATAATAGAAATAAAATAAATCACGACGTTTCGGAGGCAACACAAGTCTCCGTCATCAGGTGGGACCGTCACAGCTAAATTTACTGTCTAGATTTAAAGCTTTCGTGACTGCAGAGATTCATCTTCTTGGTTCTTTCGGGAAAATCACGTAGAAAGGAAGTAATACAATAATAAAAATAAAACGTCGTGAGAATTATTTTATTATGTTTTATTTTTATTATTTTATTACTTCCCTTCTACGTGACTTTACCGAAAGAACCAAGAAGATAAATTTACTGTATCAACTAAATTTACTGTATCAAGTAAAGTGATACAGTACATTTAGCTGTGACGGTCCCACCTGATGACGGAGACTTGTGTTGCCTCCGAAACGTCGTGATTTATTAATTTATTTCTATTATTATTTCTATTATTTTTTACCTACATGACTTTACCGAAAAAACTTAAGAGTATGCCACCACGTGTTTGGGCTGTGCCACTAGGAAGTTGTTTGGCACGGACCCGTCGCTGGCGATGGTGGATCCGTCGCGAGGCTCGGCGAGGTCTGTGGAGAGCCGTGCATCCGAAATCCCCCAGAGTCGCGATGAGGGTGGCACTCCCAAATTGGCGCCTTCACCTTCCACCTGCAGAGCAAAGTGGGGGCGACAACACCTTTCGTTTTGTAAATGAACACATTCATTGCATTTGTACACGAGGTTTGTTTCAAGAGTTGCCTGTCATATTCATATTGAGTTGCCTGTCATCTGGGCACATCAATAGCCAAGTGTTCAACAGTTCAGGTGATTTCAGTGCTGATATCAACCGTCATGCATATTACATTTATGCTGCATTCACTATTCCTACAATTCCCTGAAGGTGGCACTATCTAAATAGCAAATCAATACTGGGTTCATGGTACAGCATGTGCGGAGGCTGTGTGCGTGGATAGTCATTTATATGGGTGCACGTAAAACGTTTAGCCATTGGGGATTGTGCTGCCCCCCTGTGTGATCTGCCCCAAGCGATGCTTACGTTAGTTACAGGCGGACAATCAGTGCTGGGAGCGAGTCGGCAGGCTGGAGTTTCAGACTGCTCGCCGGGGCTGTACTTGTAGGCGGGAAAGTTAAACGGCCGAGGCTCGGTGGTGGCGTAGCGCATCCCGTAACTTTCCGCATCAGCCGCAGGAAAGCTCGCACCAGGGTGATCCTTGCGCGTGGTGACCAAATCTCCGCCGAATTCTGTTGCCTCACTCGGCACAGCAGCCTTTTGATGCGAGACAGGACCGGTGGCGTCCTGGCTGGATTGGCACCCGGCATATGGCATCTTCAAGGGAACTGTCATGCAGTGATCGTGTTCAATCCTGCTTTTTGAGGGTGGCGCAGCAGAGAGCTGCTTCAAGGTGTAATGCTGCACTGGCGTCTTGAAGCCCTCGTCCAACCTGCCGGCCATCTTCCCAGTTGTAATCACAAAGTCGGGGCCCTTTGAGAAGTCTCTCGTGCAGAGGCGATGCTCACCCTCACTCTCGGCACCTGCAGGCTCACAGGAGCGAGCAGCATTGTCCACAAAGTCCAGCTTAATTGTTGGAGAGACATCTGGCTCTGTCGAACGTGAAGTGCCAGGCTGACTAGGAAGCACGTGTCTGCTGGCGCAGTCGGCAGTCGGTGAAGCGCCGAGGTGGGGGCAGCTGGCGTCTCGCGCAGGCATCGCGCTCTGCCTTTCTGTTTGTGGCCGCTCCAGCTCCACACGGCTGCGCACACAACCGCACACCCACGCACAATGCCTCGTTAGCACGGTCCCTGGATCCCTGAAAAAGAATACATCGAAGCGGGCAAGCTTGCACATCTAAAAGCCGTTTCCGTGCAAAGAAAATAGATCCTAATGCTTTGTAAAAAAGCGACAATTGTCCCAATTTACAATGTCGCTCGGCACAAATGTTGGTGCTTCCACAACGTTGGTGGTCCTTCATTGGGCATTGGATGTAAGCAGCTGCTCCACTGGGGCCGTCTGCTCAGGAGCAGCCGGCAGCCGGGATCCGTGCAGCCCCCCTTTCAGCAACTCCCGCTTCTCGGTGTAACGAGGGCAGGTCCCTAGGAACAGCTGCTCACCCCCCGCCCCCCTCAAGCCGTCACTTGTGACCTCCAAGAATAAATTGTCGTATCTCTTCCCCAGTTGTGATTGCTCCACATCAGCCTCCCTCCTCCGCCTGTCAGTAATGGCAGTCCTTCTTGCACGTTTTAGATGTGAAATGTTTACACACATTTTTTAAAAATACAACATTATCCATCACGTGTGTATGTTCAACTTCTTTTGCACCGTACGTAGACAGTCGTGCTAATGGGAGGTGCGAGATCGTTAGAGTTCTACGTATATCAACATATATTTTTTTCATGTTGGCACGCGTGTGTTTTGGTTTCTTGGTCGTTTTTATTTCATACCCTGATTTCATGCCTCTAGCTTCATTTGACTTTTTTCCCCCCAAATTTAAAATGCAAGCACCACAATGCACTCTGAACCTGGTTATTGAATTTCACATACCTACCTGTTAACATCGGGAATCACCTGTTCAACTCTCCGCCAAAAAAAATGCTTGTGATTAGTGCGGGTAGTGCGTGTGCGTGTTTGCAGTGCGTGTGTGTGTCTTCGTCTTAAAAAAAAACCCAGATTGTATTGTGCCATTTAAGTGTTTAATACTAGGTGGGGCAGCGTTGAACAAGCGCTGGGTGTGGCAGGTAATACATCAACTAATCTTGCCCTGGGCTCTGATAACTGTTGTTAAGGTTCCGTCCTAAGTCGGAGTTTTTCTTTATGCTGTTATTCTCGTTCCCATCATTAGACAATGAGCCCTGAAGTGGAAGATCTGGTTTCGAAGCCGTGTGTTGTGATTACCACATTCAATGTATTCGTACCGTAGTAGCAGTAGTAATAATACTGCAGCGAAGCCTCACTCACCCCGAAGCCCTTGTCGGATGGAAAGCCGCAAAAGATTGTTTGGCGCCCAATGCATATTTAAAGGAATGCTTACTAATCCAAGCAAATAAAGTATCCACCTACCTGCTATACTCCCATACACTGGACACGTTACATCCCTGCAATTTTAGAATCTCAAGCACATGCTGAAATGTGTGACCACATTCGAGTGCCTTGACGACGGTCAGGTGGCTGGCTCATTGTTCCCAGGCACACACATCAAGTGTTTCATCCTTCAGAGCTGCATAACGTCGGCGGTCAACTGCGGCTAACCGTAATTAAACATCGCCTGCGTGGCACTCGTACACACAACATGACAAAAGTCTCATCCGCGTTTCACCCAGGGGACGGCATCCACAACAAAACAAACACGCGCGCAGCCAGAGCTGTGCGCGTCTCATACCTCACGGCGTCCGCATGGCTGAGCAGCGCGGGTTGGCGCGCCTGTTTGGCTGGAGGCAAGAGAGCGCGCAGCACAGAGGGCGGAGGGCAACACGTGGGGCTCTCCTCGGGAACCGTGGAATTCGTGGTGCGGCCAGACAGAGCCTTGGCCTCCTGCGATGACACCACACACACGCGCGCGCGCGTGCGCGCGCGCGTCACGAGGAATTATATTAGTTTGAGTATACAGTAAACGCTTGTTAATTAGACACATATGGGGCTCTGGTCTTGCCGAATTTTCCAATATTCCGAATTATGTACAACGGTACACCCCAGTGCCTCCTGCCCCAATGCAAATGTTTTTTCCAAATTTGTTTTCTAAACTCCCTTGTTAATTCGACACATATGGGGCTCTGGCCTTGCCGAATTTTCCAATATTCCGAATTATGTACAACGGTACACCCCAGTGCCTCCTGCCCCAATGGAAATGTTTTTTCCAAATTTGTTTTCTAAACTCTTCACACACCATACGAATTAACGCACCTGCATCAAATCTATCCAAAACTTAGCATTTGTCTCGCAGACTAATCGATGTATACTTCAGTCCCTTTCTATCACTTCTTGATGTAGGTGTAGACGACATTTCTTCGAGGGATGGCTTGCACATTGCATAAACAAGGTAAAGTCCAAAGCAACAGGTCTGAACTAAACGCTCGCCGCCACGAGACTTGAGTCATTGTTTTTGGTCGTGGTGCGTGGCGTCGCTCCATGTGTGAGACTACATTGGACCATTAGGCTACGGCAATTCTGGCCATGGCAATTTACTAATGCTGTATATATACCGAAAGCGCAGTCGTGCCGAATTATCCCCAATTATTAATGACCAAATACCGAAATAACGAGATTTTACTGTATATATGTTTTAAAATCCCAAATGGTGCCCCACTCGAACTTACATAGATAGTGAGGTTTAGAGCCTTGAGCCAGTGATGGAAACTCTACCACTGGCGGAGTTTCCATCAAACAACCACTCCTGACTCCCGACAGAGTGGTACTGATTTTATAATCCATGGACGGAGAAACGGCTGAATCACTGCCACCGATAAGGGATCCGAAATTGGCAACGTCCGAAATGTGTAAGCATTGGAAGGTCACAAATGGAAGGTTGCGAGTTGCTCCTGTAACTACTGTGCCACACAACCAGGTATTATAGTGATAATGGTTGCTCTGTTTATTCAGAAATGTATGAGTAAGTCTATAGACTACTTGGAAATCTATGACTAATTCGTTTTTTTGGTGTTATTTTTACGTTAGGGTGTGGTGATGAAATACCCATGAATACAAGTAGATAATAATAATCCAGACAGATGGGTCAGCCGACTACTCATCACACAGGTCATGATGTCACTGCCGAGACTCAGCTTTGTAAACAACTCTTCCTCTACCCACGGGGAGGTAGAATGTGCACCGGGCCATAAGCGCTCTGCGCCTATAACAAAGACAAATATCCCCCGTGTAGCCTTAACAGACTGTTGGGGCAAGTGCTGTTAGCGAGCACCTATAAAAGCCGGGGCGGCACACGAGGGGGCAGGTCGCCAACACCACGCCCGGACGCCTTTGTCTCCCTAGTGGCGATGTTTACACACCGCTCCAGGTACTCATTTGAGGCTTGGTCGACCTCGGGGAGGCTCAGGAGCGGTTCAGATAATCGTCACTGGTGGTGGCCGTGAGCGGGAATCGAACTCGGGTCGCCAGGTTCATGGCGCAGCGCGCTAACCGCTACACTGCCGCCTATGACACAACGTGCGTGACCCACACACGAGGATAAGCTCTACCAGTGAAAGCCACACGTGGAACTGTGAAGGAAGTACAGCTCTGCGGAGAAATATTGCGAGAGATGCTGCAATTACAGATGACAAAATCTCATTAGCAAATGCAATTAATGTAACTAATGGGAATACAACCTCCGGGGCCTGTTTTGGTGTGGTGTACGTGTTGTACTGTCAGCGTGGCCTGGCTCCGCCCCCAGCCATGCGCCCTTCTGGAACCTACTAGCGGGTTCTCGATGTGCCCCTTCCGTAACCTTTCCCCCACATGCCTCTCTGGTCTATCACGTGACCTGCTGTCAGTCAGGGCTGCTATAAGCTGCAGATCCCCTTCCCTGCCAGCAGCCAGCGCTGTGCTGCTACGTGACCGATTCTATGTCACTACATATGCAAAGGCTGAAACATCTCAAAACCTTAGCCCATTTCTACCTGATTTCAGTCAGAAATCGGAGCTTAATAATGGCGAGGCGTAATGTCCCATCAGACTATGACCAACAATACATTTGAAACACAATATTAGTCATCCATTAAAACACACCTCAACTTGCAAAACTGCAAAAACAACTCTGTCCGTCTTTAAATACACCAATGTAAAATGGATGATATTATCCCAAACCACAGTCATGTCAATGGAATTGTGCATTGCTTGCTGCTGTGCACTTTTCTGTCAGTAATGCAAGGCACGTGTATATCAACGGTCATATCTGCTCATAATTAAGCAAAGCGTGCTGGTGTTACCATGCCTACCAAATCATAAACATATAGAGACGGGACGTCCTGCAGAGTAAACACAGATGGCTCTGCAGCTTCTATGCCTGAGCTAATGCTAAAACGCGCGCATGACGAGTCATAGAGAATAGGTTTTACCCTTTTTGATAATAAAACAGGCGTTAAGATGTTAAAACACCAAACTGAAACCTTCTGCAAGGAAATCCGGTCTGCATGAACCGCACATACTTGTGGTGAACATGCAAACAAAAACATGCTCTGATAATATGCATTGTCTTTGAAACCGATTGGTCCGCTCACATTTACACGAGTGCAAATCCTTAAATAGGCAATTCATTTTAATACAATACCAAGGTGACTACCATCTAAATTACCCACCAACCCCCTCTAGCCGGAAGCGTATCACCTTTATCGAGTTATGCCACTGTGCGAGACACGTACCGACGCATACACACGTAACTCAGTGTGTTGCCTATCGAAAGTATTTATTCAGGAACAAAGCCCTTGAAATTTTAGATGCCCCCCACAGCACTGATGTGCACTGTACTGCGGACACAAAACTTCACGTGGTTCCCACGAGGTCTCTATTAATGCCCAAATACCTGGAATGTCGTCGCTTCAACAAAATAATGTCGTTGGTTATTCTCCCATCTAAATAACACAATGTCACACTAAACTGCAATTGCAGTTCACATATATCCTTGTTTGTTTACATATAAATACAATCGTCACCCTATGCTGAACGTTTCTGTAACTTCACTGCAATTGTAATAGGATCCGTTTGAAAATAATCTGCCTGAACCGACTTGTGAGACAGAGAATCTATTATTTGACGGTGACTTACATCTGTGCTGTACTTGAGATTTTCTCTGATTTCTCTTTGCTTCATTGCTGTAAATTATTAATTGTTTCGCTTTACTAATTTTCGTGAGGCAGATCACTCTTGAAATTAGACATTTCTCTGGTTACGCAACATAAATGACTAAACTTGACCAATCTATTGCGCTTTGCCTGTATTAGACATTAAACGACTGGCATTAAAGTGCATTCTCCCACGCCGACTTTAAAACTGCGAAAGTTTTCTTTTTTAATAAACTGGTAATATATTCTCAAAAAAAAACTGTGAACTTCACAAATAATCAAGGCTATAATGCTGCTTCATACTGGTAGGAACCCACTGGTTCCACCAGCCCACAGAGGATTATTGTGTCCGTCCGTCCGTCGTGCAGGGAGGGGCTGGGTGGGGAGGGAGGGGCTGGGTGGGGAGGGTGGGGCTGGGTGGGGGGTGGGAGGGGTGGGGCTGGGTGGGGAGGGGCTGGTCACCCCGTAGTACCCTTATAAAACTCAACGTTTAACCTACTCACGCCGGCTTGTGCCCGCCCTCACAGTCGGGCATATTTGCGGAATACACCACGCCGCCGTTGACCCTGGCCATTGACCGAGTAACTCAACGTTCCTACCAGCTCCCTCTGCAGGAATGTGTTAATTGCAAAAGCAGAAACTTCCATGCCAGCAGCAATCGATGCATACGAAGGCAAAGGGACCAAGATCCCCTGCATAGCCTTCACAGACTGTTGGGGCAAGTGCTGTTAGCAAGTACCTATGAAGGCCACTACGGCACACGACGGGGTGGGTGGCCAGCACCACGCACGGCCGCCTTTGTCTCCGAAGTGGCGATGTTTACTACACACTGCACCAGGTACTCATTTCAAGCTGAGTCGACCTAGGGGAGGCCCAAGTCACCGTTTCAAATAACCGTCACTGGTGGTTGCTGTGAGCGGGAATGAAAACCCGGGTGGCCGAGTTAATGGTTCAGTGTGCAAGCCCCCTACACGTAAATAAGACAAAGATCTCCCCTTAACAAACTGTTGGGGACAAGTGCTGTTAGCGAGCAGCACCTGTGAAGGGGCCGGCAAGATGCAATAAGGAGGTGGCCAAGCACCGCCATATAGTCACAACAGGCACACCACGTGCCATTTTTTGAGGCCCTCGCACAGAAATTCACGGCCCATTGCACGCACAATCAGCAAAGCCGGGCGAGCAGGCAGCGGCATGAGCTATTAAAGCAGGGGGAAGAGAGTCTACAACACGTCAATGCGCAGCACTCGCTCCTGTTCGACGGCGATCTATATATACGAGGCCAAGATAGAAGTGATAATTGCATTGCCCGTCAACACGTGTACAAAACATCGCACCCGTGATGCATTTTCCCCCAAAACACGATTGAACACAGTCAAAGAAAGTGCGGTGTCGTTTTCAATAGCTGCCAAGGGCGCAATGATGGCGACGGTGTGAACGAAAAGACAACACAAAAAACAACATTGACGGGCAAGTTCGGTGTGATTACAGCGTGCGCTCACCAGACAGACTGTAAAAAGGGAAACGAAAGAGAGAAATAAACTCGAGTACAATGACCGCCGGAGGAAGTTTGCAGTGCTCGGTGACCGTGCAAACCGAGAGCCCTCGTGTGCCGGTGCCACATCAGAGTGCGCAACGCCGAAGCGCCACCTCCACAATGTTGCTATCAATGCTGGGCTATGAATTGGTAAATATTTGTCGTTTTTTTTTATTACTACCTCCAAATGTTCAGGAGCTAACGAACGCTGATCCGCGTTTAAAAATGAACGTAGAAAGGCGTTGCGAACTGGCTTCGGCGTGGGAACGTGGAATGAGAGCGCTAACCACGGTAACGATGGTGTTGACCACTGCTCCCTTGGGTGCCTCCTCCTCAGCCTTCATTGCCAGGGGAGATGAGGCTGTAACACAGATGCCCGGCGTGTCAGTGCACGAGTCAACATTGTTAAGCGCAGCATGGGTTTCTAACCAGCAGTGTGTAGATCCATATATCCCATCAGCAGCAATCATTTAAGCATATAAAACTCAAAATGTTCATTCACGTCGCAGTGTGGAAAATAAATAGCAACATAGATAATCAGAAAATACATCTGCTTCATACATCTGTCTGTCCGTGTAAAAAAATAATATATTCCATACAACCCATCGGCCTCCATGGCCTGCTGGGAGTGAATCATTTCACCAGCATTGATTCAGTCCAAGCAAACGTCGGACCGCGTTAGACTCAAGTGTTTCTCACCAACAGGTTCATATTTGCTCAAATCAATGCTCGTGAACTGCCACATTTTATAGGCAAGGACCCTCTTTCTTTGATATACAGGTCGCATTTCTTAATATAATAACCAAGACGATTGAACGGCGGCACCAAATAATGAATTCATAATTCTTGTTGCCATTATACATATTTTAAAAAAATCTGTTGTAGTCTCAGCAACACGGCGTACGCGGGAAGAATATTTGACAATGTACAGTTCGGTAAAACCGCCACCAGGCAAGGCACTCTGGATATTGGCTCAACAGACATTTATGTAATAACAAGAAGGTTACGTTTCAGTTTCAACAACTGCACACGGGCGTGTAAAACAATACGGCACATACACCGACAACACAAAACTGAACACGCATTGTTAGCCAACACGTTGACTCCTTCGTCTTTCACATTCAAGACATGTTTTTCTTAAACCAATTTACATGTTGGTATCAACACACACACACACACACGAATACACACAGATGAGTTGGATAAAAAAAAATCAAACATTTGGTTGGAATGGGCTCAAAACACGGTTAATTGTCAAATGTAACCGCAGGATTGGCAAGAGCGATGGGGTGGTGGTGCACACGAAGTCTCAAGTTTCTCTCCTGTCTAGCGCCGACTGGTCCAGGGCGTGTGAACAGTGAACAGAAGGAGTTGAACCAGTCTTCCACCTGGCCTGGAGTCGCTCCCTCGCTCACCCTTGTTAGCGACATGTGATCCAGCGTGCGTCACAACCCACCCACTCACCGTTCAATAAAACGCAGGGTAGATAACAACGTGCACTGTCACGGACTGCGAACAGTCAAATATTCAACTACAGCTGCGCATAGTTTCTGTATAGTTTGGCCGTACTATACTGATGCTCGTTGATGGCTCTTGACTCTTAACATCAGGCAGCCAAACCGGATTTGTTTAACTCTTCCCAATATCGTTTATGAGGCTCATAAAGTAAAAAAATAATGTGTCCATAGTTTTCTGCTTAAACAAATGCTGCTAGAAAACATTGTTCTATAAAGCCGACTATGCACCAAATTAATTTTTTTAATATTTTAGTGTAGTGGCAAATGGGGCTGCCTTAATTTGAACGGATCTCAGCCATGCAAGCAAGGTGCTCCAACTAGGCCTCGGCAAGGTAAGGTACCCTTTTTACCGGGTAAGTCTCGTTGTTTTTACCTTTTACCTTACCTTGCCGTGGCCTAGCTCCAACGCAGTCGCCTGGGTCCAGCAGTTTAAAATAGATTTGGCTTGCGGATATTTTCGAGGATTTTACCCCATGTATCTTCGGCACGATGTCTGACAATTCTTCAGATCCCGAAGGTCCCAAGCACACGGAGCAACATATTTTGACAGCATGCCGAACAGCACGCGGTACAACCCTCTAACATACCTCGGACATAATTGTTTTAATACCCTTTAATCTGGCAACAAAATTGACACCTTTTTTACAAGGAGTCATGTTTGCATTGACCGCAATACCTGCGGTCGGAATCCAATCAATTTCAAGGACAGTGCAGACATTATCAAAGTTGTCTTTTTTTTGTTTGCATTCCGACCGCAGGTATTGTGGTCAATGCAAACATGACTCCTTGTAAAAAAAAGGTGTCAGTTTTGTTGCCAGATTAAAGGGTAAAAAACCCATGATCACAATTTGCTACTGGCAAAGGAGGTTCCAATGGCATATCTCGGACAGTGATGCATGTTAAACTTATTTCACACCGTGCGTAGCCAAACATGCTAATCGGAGGTGCGACAGCACAACCCTGACCGTGCAAGATGCTCAGATGCAACACGCCTGCCAACGCCTGTGTTGTTGTACCTTTGCTTCCCTGGCTCGAGTGCAGCAGCTGGGCGCCTCCCGTGGGCGACACGGAGAGCCTCGGCGCAACGGCGCCCGTGTCCACGGCCGGGCCAATGCTCGCTGTCGACGCCACCGCCAGCCCTGGCGCAATGGGCACCTCCGGCGAGGGGCACGGCGGCACACGCCTGTAAGCAAGCACGTGGACAAGCAGCCCTCATCCACTGCTGGCCACAGCTGCACGGCACTTGCAGCGCACGTCCCCATGTACACAGCGGACGCAGTTGCTTAGACAGGTCGAGGACTGTTGCCCAGTGAAAACAAAGCCAGTGGTTCTTTCTCACAAACAAAAAAAGTTTTTTTTACTGAAGATGTAGACGGCCCCAAGGCTGTAAGACGTGGCTATGGAGGTATCGTTATGGGTTCTCAGGTATTCAGTGCAATGATAGCCACCATGAATGTATTTGCATGCTAAAAAGGAATGCGGCTGCTTCTATTCTGTGGATTACTTATAGGTACAATTCGTAGTCTCGTGGTACTATTAAAAATATTCCAACAATTCAAAAAATTGTTCATCTTGAGTGGAACGGAAGGCAATTACCCTAAATATTAGTATTTCATTTCTAAATACAATGAATTGTGGCATTTTAATTAACCAGACATTCGGTATCAATCCTCACACTTTAGCCATCTGCACTCACAACTGTCCCATTACCCATTGCTGTGGTCAAAGCTGGTGCCGACTGACGTTTTTAAAATTGGTAAGCTTCTTTCCATGCTCATGTTAAACTTTCCAAAGGCACTCCACCCTGCTCTTATCTGATTTCATTGCCTTGACCCGAATTCACCTTCTGTAACTGCCCAAAGTATAAATATTCTGTTTCAAAGTTGTGCCCTTCATCGATGATTTAGTTTTGTAAGCAAACTTGCCGTACATTACTTTGTTTTGCTCACATTTCTATTAAGTTCAACTTCGCAGTCTTCTCCGAGGTTCTTCAATAATACCTTGCAATACATTTTCACCGCTTGCTAAACAAATCTGAGATGGCTATAGTTGTCTCAATGTACTTTAAGCCTGTATTTCTCCAAGCTAATGTTTCTGCAAATTAACTTTGTGAGAGCATATCTCCTTGCCCGACTCCTATTCTGGATTGTACTCAAGGTAGCAATGTGTAAAAAGTTTGAGTTTCCACCGTTTCAAATGCATTTTCATGATTGACAAAAGCTGGATGATGTTTTATATCCATTCGTATCTTTAATGATTTCATTCAATCTTACGTGGTCAACGATGGAAATAAAAAAAAAACCTTTCCTAAATCTATCCTTGCTCACGTGATTGGTTTCCCTCGCAAATCCACAAAATGTGTTTCCTCAGATCTGTGAGAAATGTATAAACATGTGATAGGCGGCTGATGAGCATGTCATTCTTTTTGAAAATAATTCTTGCAACATCATTTCATAATCGAGGTACAGCATTTCATTTCCTTTTAAACATGATTTAATAGGTCTGCTAATTGAGCAATTCGATGAATTACCACAATTTAGAGTCGCGATTTAAAAACGATTCCTCTTTTTTAAAAAGTGTGACTGGTTGCACCTCCAGTGATTGCAGGTGATGTGAACCCATTACACACAACGCACACAAGCCTAAAATCATCGATTCCCATGCACACGATTCAAATACACGAGCTCCAAAAGATATCAATCGGCAAATCAATGCATCGATCCATTACAAAACACATTGACAAAATGATGAACACAACCGAGAAACATATAACCTTTTCCTAGAACAAGACAGACTTTCATTGTTTATTACCTAAAAGCAAATGACATTTCCAAGGCCACACACGTACAAGCAATCTTCAATCATTCACGCTGTACAGAAAATAAAGACTTTCCAAAGGATTGTGTTTTAATGCAGCATTTATAAACACAAGATGAGGCCCTGCGTTTGCAGATACGTTGACATAAGTTGCTGAATGAGACACTTTTAAAACAAAGCTATTAGTCAAGCTAAAGGTGATTTCAGAAGGCATTTAACACACAAACATTGCAACATTCAACTCCCACTTCAGCGAACCGTCACCTGCTACGTGAAACGTCTCGCCGTCACACACAGCACCGTTGAGGACTGAGTAAGCGCCCCGGTCATGGCTTTCTTTACAGTAGTGGCCCTGAAACTACGATCTCAGGACACGTTATTCTAAAGTCCCACGGTAAACATTCAAGTGTCTACGTCATAAGCTTATTTTAGCCTATTCTATTCAAGTACGGGTAAAATATAGTTTGAACTAGGTTTATTATTTTCAGTTTTTATGTGTAGAATTTTGTTGCCTAATGTAAAAAAATAATCTTCACAATCAGCACAAATTTAGTGTTTTTAACAAACCATCGGCCCAGAATTTCTACCAAAACAATGTTGCCATGTATATGGTGCGCACGTGTTCATTGTGCTAAATGTAGCTTCAGCTGGCTCAGCAATTTTTGTTTTATTGTTTAGCTTTTACACATGGCCATCCAATGTCCAAAAGGACCATTCAGTCGCCTTCACGAGCGTGGACAAGTAATGGGGCGTTATGGCCTGAGTGACAAGTCAGTGAACTGGATTGCTCGGCCAAATATATTTCAAGCAACCAGCAATACACCCTGCATCTGGGTAATCCTGGTGCTACACTTTGGGTATAAATGAGACCCAGAACTTAGAGAGGGTAGACACAAATCGTGCACTCTCCTTGCCCAATCCAGGCTATAGATGGTGGCTGACGTGAAAGCCTTGAAGACCAAATAGCCCCCCAGTTTGGGCAGGAAAACCAAGTCACGTAATTACGCCAAACACGTGCGCCCAGCCCTCCACCGAGTTGAGCGCAACCCAGCTGGTGTGCAGAAATGGATGCAAAACATTTTAATAACCAAGTGCTACTGCTGCAGAAAGTTCATTTATGATCATAAACAAGTGGAATGCATACACTAAGTTTAGGCACAGATCTGAAAATGCACATCCCACTGGGCAAGTGAAAACGTTTTCATACATTACACACCACTCTCACAAAACGGGCCATGACACAATTTGGGAGGTAAACAATGATGTCAAACATGGCAGAGTTACGATGTCTTGGTGTGGCGCCGTCTCTTTTCAATCTGGCACGAACCAAGCATGTGCTAACCACGTAAGACATACATGAATATGCGGTCGTGGCATTGAAACGTCTTCACCGAGTGTCACTCCATGTCCCACCCAGTTAATGAAAACACAAGCAAAATGCATGCAGAATGAAACCTAGCTACAACCAATTCTACAAATGACATCACTTTCATGGATCATGAGAAATCATGCAGTCAATAAAAATCTACTTACAGAAAAAAATCGGATTATATATTGGCAAATAACTATACACATTCCTTAACAAATAAAGTGCAGTTTCCCCCCACCCTCAATTAACTAAAACACTGCTGCATAAAACACACAACAAACGGTAAATTAAAATTGAATAGTAAAATATTCATTATTTTGGAAATCAGAATACGGTCTTGTCACTGATTTAGGATTTACCTCGAAACACTTGCGTAGAACTCTTAATATAAAATTGATCTTAAAAGTGCCAAAGCACAAATCTGCCCCTCTATTTGCCCTTGTTGCCAGTGTCAATTCTCGTTCTAAAATACAAGCGGCACGCAGTGTTCCGACTTGGCAACACGGAACTCGTGGTTTTAAAAAGTTTAAAAGCAAGCAGCTCATCAAGCATTAAACCCCATATTTCCATGTTGATGTCTGTTGTATTAATAATTAATCGCCTAACTAATAAACATTGTAAACCTGATTTTTTTAAATTTTCTTTCAATTATTGTTAAACTTAAGGCACTTACCCGATTTTACAAATGAGTGGACATTGGCCCTGCAATTGTGCCGAATCATTCGTGGTCGTTGTATGTCACTAGCGCTGTGCACACTCTCATCAAGCTGAGCGTGAGGTCATTCACTTGTATTCTACAGCAATGTAAACACTAGCTACCCGCACCCATTTGTAAAACATCCCACTCGGAAATCTAAATTCTTCCAGATACTTTTGGTTTTTTTAATGTCAGCATCTATATTTGGTAAGGTGTACACGGTTCATGTGATAAAAAAAACCCATTACCAAGAGAGTTTTAGGCATTACACGTTCGTACAGACAGGACCCATTTATCGGCGTGCCACAACATCTTAAAGCCGAACTACATTAACGTATCAGCACTCGATTCAACATGCTTTTAAAAGTCGATGGACCACAACTAAGTGCAAGCGTGACCACCACCAACACTTCCAACACCACCACCACCACACAACGCAGATGCCGGCGAATGTACAATTTGATAAATAATGTCATTTTGTAAACCAAAATCGTTTAGGTGTCAAGTGGCCGAGCCACACAGCATCAAATATCTCATTGTGCCCACATGAGCAGCGACGTACACAGGGAATATTAAAGAGGATGGTGCACAAAGAGACTCGTGGAAAGGGCACACTCCCTTTAATGGCCCCAGTTCCCATCCTGGTTGTGTGACCAATTTGGGGGAAAGGTTTCACAGTGAAATGGGGCGGCAATTACATCCCCAGGCCACCCATGAACATGCGGCATGGCGCACAAAGGCATGCTTTCAAGCACAGTAGAACACCTCATATCCGAAGCCCCGGTATCCAAACAGGCCCCCCCCCCCCCCCCCCCGCTTGCACTCAGTGTAACCAGCAGCGCTTCTGGCATAGCCTGGCGTGGCCTTGGTGCCGGCGACACGAGTGCCTGGAACCATCGTCCCAGCCGCATTTTACAACCCCATCGTACCGTGTGGCGAGGCTGCCCCTACGCACACAGGACCCCACTCTCCCGTATGCAAATAGAGCTGCGGGGTGCATTGCAGTGCAGTGCCCTGAATTACAAGTCACATGGAGCGACTGAGATAGCAGAGTACAACTTGCATCGTGGTATTAGTCACAAGACTCATGCTTACTGCCCAGTCAATATAAAATATAGCTGAAGATCTTGGTGTTTTAGTTATCTGGCAGGTCACAAATTGAACGTTTTAAAAATCGGAGGGTAGCAACGTGTTCAGATAGGAGGATTCTAATGTGCAATCAGTGTAAGAATGCCAAAACTGCCGATCAAAAATATTCCCTTTTTCACCCATTGTCTGGCCTGGGTGTTGAAAATCCAAGAGTTGGCAACTAAGTTATCATTGGTTGACCTTCATCCTTGTGAAGACGTCCACACACTTGACTATAGATGCTGATGAAGGATCAGAAGGCAGACCCTTGGACTGATTGGAAAGGATACAGTAGCATGTTTTTTAGTGTTGATGGTAAAAACATGGTTGTGGGTTTTTTTCCATGTCGGCCATTTCAGCCAGCTGATTTTTTTCAGATGCAGAATATTTTCCCCACTTCAACACACATACAGGGTTCTATGTGATAACTTCTGATGTAGCAGTCGGCCAACGGTGACATTGGTGCTATTCAGAAACACAAAATCAATTAAAATGAACGGACGTTCACGAAGTGTTGTTGATGGCAGTTGTCCCATCACAGCTCAGTAGCATGGGGCCTGGGTGGTGGCTGCTGGTAGGGTGGCGGCTGTCGCTGCTGCTGGTATGATGGCGGTTGGTGGGGTGGGGGTGGCCCAGTGCTGCCACAATTTTTCAGGTTCTTCTCCTGCACAGCCTGGTTGTACCCATCGCCCGAGGGCCTTCTGGGGTTCCCACCGTTGTGGCTGGCTGGTAATTCTGACCTGCTTCGTAGGAAATGGCAACAACCGGACATTAGCACGTGTTTTCCAAATACGGTGAATGCAGGCAAGCTTTTGTCGAAGAGCAGCATCAGGCATTCCATAGGAAGGGATGGGATAGTCCCCATGCAGAATCAGTAAGTGAGAGCAGAGATTCATCCAAATGCAGAAATTTCATGTCATAAGTGAAGAGAAGATTTTCATAGAAAATCTATCATTGCACCATCGTGTCCATGCAGTAAATGTGTTAAGAGATGTCACATTGCTTAATTTCCATGCAGGTCAAGCATTTGTGCCAGCAATGCAGTCCCAGTCCCACATAAAAATAATAATTCTCAATCGAAGCCTTTAACCGATGCAGAGGAACTGTTCAAAAGGGCTATTCAAGTGAAAATAAATAAGTAAAACAATCTCTTCCTTCAGCAGGAAAATCAAGAGGTGTGCATTTATGGGGAAGACAAAGCCATGTGCGGCATTCCATCAGCGCATCCACTTGCTTGTAAAATGTGAGCCGTCCTCCTCTACCTTCACCAGATTCTCTGTGCATTTTACACAATGCATCAGAAAGTAATCAAATCGGTGTCGCACGAAAGCATCTGCGTGCGCCCGGGATGATATTTAACACAGAGCATTCAAAAACCACCTCCTCTAACAATCCCCAGAATGAAGGATTCTGTTTTCTCTTTCAGTCATGCGAAACACGTAGCAACATGAAACTCAAGACTTATTAAGAAGCAATTGGGAATTGCTTCACAGTTACTCTACCGTGCTCATTATTTTTAACATTAGTTAAGGTACAATAAGGTGGTCAGGGAAGAACTGGGCTAGAATTATAAAGACCTGCACAGATCAGGAACATGACCAGCATTCATCTGCAAGCATGTAGGGGGTCACACAGAGGTGGCCGACAGTTACGGGTCACAAGAAGTGTCCAAATACCCCAAAGGCAAAGAAAGTAAACTGGTTGACACTAAGCAACCTTAAAAGCAAAGCAAAAAAACGCAGCAAGCCGTGCATTCACTGAGCAGTTCACCATGCAACAGAGCCCAAAACAAATCTGATAATCCATTGCAGAACCAGGTCTGTGTGACGCAGAAAGACATTCTGTCACAATCATAGGATGAAAAATCTGCCTTGCCAAAGTTGATTACATTCACGTCTGTTTTGTTTATAAATCGTTTACAGTTTTCCCAAATAATACAAAGTAAAAACTCCTGAGTGATTAAATGGCAATACTACAATGTTCAAGATTACTGCTAAGACAACTCAAACAGGAGAGGTAGTAGGTACATTGATTCCTTGCGTATGATATAAACATGTTATGAAGACAGTCTTGAAATCAAGCCATGCAGTGATCAGTAGGAATAAAAAAAAAACAAAGAAACCACCATCACCACCACCACCACCACCACATAGTGTTTAAGATTGAGCACCCAGCACCATTTGAGAATCCCACCACCCCATAGCTTAAGAGAGCACGCGTGCTGGCAGATAGGATTATCAGCACACATTGCCAGCAGCGCCAGCAAGCAGTCTATGTGACAGCATCAAGGCAGGGTGGACGCACAGAGCAAATCCAAGCAAATAGAGCACGACATGCACAACACAAAAACAGTCGCATCATGAACATGCACGGAGAGTCTAACTACATGGGGAAAAAACATAGCACACCTTGCCCACTACTTCATCAGTGCTTGATAAATAATGTCATAAGATCAAATGAGGCAAATGGAATTGACATTAAAGAGTTAGGCACCCATGCATTTAAGTTTGAACAAAGGGTGCAAAAACCTTACGTGTAACTATCATACACCCAAATGTAAGCATTTAGTTCCAATTAAAGAAATCACTTAACTGTAAATAATTTTCAACCAACATTAATTAATTTCACTTGTGAATTTACAAGTAAAGAGGCAAAACTGCTGGGGAGATTCTGTTTGCGGTACAGCAGTTGGATCACCACGGCAGTAGCTACCGCGGGGTTATGTGTCCTGTTTAATTAATACAGTGCGCACACAAGCGCCAACCTCACGTCGCCACACCCTGGCAGCGAGTGGTGGGCCCTGCCCTGCCGAGCCTCACCTCCTCTCAGCCGCATGACTCCCAGGGCTTGCAGGCAGCTGTGCCACCTCCAGGGGTATGTGTCCCGAGGGAATGGGGGCTGCCACGGGCACGGCAGGGCGGTTCCAGGGCTACATGTCAAACGAAAGGTAGCGAGAATCAACACATGAAGAATATATGGCTTTAGCATTTAGCCTATCTAAACCCTTAAGAGTCTTGTGGGGGTGGGGGGGGGGTCAGTGAGCCAAGTTATCAATGTGACTGTGAATTAAACCACTAAAATGGGGAACAATATTAAAGCAAATGTTTATTAAGATGTACAAACCCAAGCATTTACCATTGATGAAGATTTAAAGAGATGAGTCCATATCCAGCGAAACATCGTTTCAAATTCTAATTGTTGCGGATTCAATCTTCAAACACACCGGTGGGCTGAAGAAGTAACTAAATGGCGTTTTATTAACATGACACATTTCTCACTGATTGGCCGTGTCGGGTAGTGAAGGGTTGTGACACATTTATACTCACGCGATCTAACACAAACGCCTTTATTATGAATAATACTGGTTGCGAAAGCCTACATGTTAAACTGATGCATCTGATGTATGTCAATCTTTGAAACTGCGATTTAAATAGTGAAATATATTAAATGTGGCCACCAGGTATGACAATGACAACCACGTCAGCCTTTGGTTGCCAATGTGTCCCCATTATGTTACACGTACGTAGAGTGGCACCTAACATGTAATAAATATTCAGATATGAAAGAATAAGAGCAAACACACTACCTGCTGGGCATGCTGATTACGGTTCTTTTCGGGGCTTCTGTTAGAAAAAAGAAAACACCCAGTGAATGAAATCACACGATGAATCAAGCATACCATCACGAGAATATTACAACAAAATACACCTGTGTGCATCATTACTGACAAGGTGAAAACAAAGCAAGACATTTATATGCCTGCAGTACACAACATCAATACTATAGTAATAGGTTTTTACCCTTTTATCTGGTACAAAAACTGACACCTTTATACAAGGGATCATGTTTGCAATAACCACAACACAAGCAGTCAAAATGCAAACAAAAAGAAACAACTCTGATGATATGCACTATCCTTGAAATTGATCGGTCCACACCCGAGACAGCTTTTCTTAGAGCCGAGTCTCCATTGGTGTTGGACCAGATGACGCCAAAAGGCGTACAACTCAAAAACAGCGGACTATCAGAGTATTGAGAGCTCGGGGTAAGCATTTACACTATGAGTCCAACACCAATGGAGACTAGGCTCTAAGAAAAGCTGTCTCGGGTGTGGACCAATCAACTTCAAGGACAGTGCATATCATAATCAGAGTTGTCTCTTTTTGTTTGCATTTTGACTGGCTTGTACTGTGGTTATTGCAAACATGATCCCTTGTATAAAGGTGTCAGTTTTTGTACCAGATAAAAGGGTAAAAACCTATTACTATAGTTTGCTCCCGGTCAAGGAGGTCTCATAGTGTAGTGTACATCAATACTATTTCGCGAAACAATGTAATCCCTACGAGTAGCATTTGGTTAAAATTACTTACAGTGATGGCAAATTCCTTTGTCCAACTGATGCTGCACACAATAGGCAGTGAAACAATGTTTAATATGACAGCATTTATATGTACAGCAGTAAAGTATATTGCATATGAAGACAACTGTAAATCATATAAGATTCGGTTTATCATTTTTAACACTGGAAAATGTGGCGTTTTAATGAAATAACCATGAGCCAAAACTTTTATTCACATTTAGATTTGAGTATATGAAAACACATTCTGAATAATTGATATATTTCACTGAAATAAACGTGTAAATGCAAGATATGGGTGATGCAGTGGTTAGAGCAATTGACTCGCCATCAGAAGAATACAAGTTCAAATTCCAGTCAGAGGTTGGTTCACTTTAATATCCCTATGGGGTTGATTTAAGTCAACAGTGTTGACCTATGGAGAAAACGGCGCCTGCCATGGGAATTAGGAATTTCAGTTGCTGGTTGCGGGCTTGCCCCATTGATCGTTTGAGCAAGGAAATACGCTGAATGCAAGACCAGAGACTATCGACAACAGCAGCACAAGAAACGATGGCTATATTGACATGGACATGCTATACACACATCCCACATTACCTTTCTGGAAAGAGGCTCTCCTGGTGTAGCGCTTGCTTGGCCTGCGCTCAAACGATGATGTTCTCCGTGCCTTACTCACTTTTGTTGCCTGGAACTCTGTCCGTCCACTGGCAGCAAACAGCGGAACAACATGAGCCTCACATGTCTGGAATAACGAACACTTCAGCAGGCAAAATCGAAATCAATCATGCAACTGAAGTGACAGACATGGATGCCAAAAGTTACACAATGTTGTGAAATTAAGATTAATGTGACGCTAATTTGAAAGGTACATAAAAATTGTGTAATAAATGTATAAAACACATTTCCAATATCATTAGAGAATGGTGAAAGGCAAAGTTGGGTGCATGCTCGTGTACTTAGCCATTTTGTAAATTATTTACAACTTGATGCAAAAAAGCACATGACATTTAAGGTGTAAATATCAAGTATTTTCAATTAAGTGTGCAAATATTAGAATCGAACGATTGTGTCCGATATCAACACATTTTCGTAATGATGTATACATATCTGATTCAAAACAAGCACGTATGCCAGACCAGGCAGCAATGGACCACCACGAGCGAGTTTTCTCGTGAGCGGTTCGCACAATCACACACCTGAAGCGAAACCGCGATCCCATGCGGATGAAGCTGCTGGGGTCGGCGTTAGTCTTCGAGGGGCCTCGCAATCGAAAGAAGGCATGATGCTCCACCGCACACTTCCACAGGTGCTTGCACGCCTTCGGGTGGTCGAGTCTGAAGACAAAGGTATGCTCCTGCTCCTTGGCCTGAAACCAGTCAGGAGGGAGCAGGATGAAAGGCAGATGTTTTTGCTACCTCGGTGTCATCCTAGATTCAACTTTATCCTTCGACCGTCAAACCAATCATATTTTATCAGTTCAAGTAACTTTCACCTGAAGGCTCTCAGACACCTACGTCCTCTCATTTCCACTGAAATTACCAACACATTGGCATGTTGCATAGTTGGGTCTCGCCTTGACTATTGCAACTCCGTCCTAGTCTGGACATCCACCGGCAACCTAAAAAAACTTCAAGGACTACAAAACAACCTGGCACGCGTCGTCATTGGCCACACTCATCCCCGTCTCGACTCACTAGCCTCTCTCCGTGCCCTCAACTGGCTACCCATCACCAGTAGGGTCAGATACAAGATCGCCTGCCTCTGCCACGATGCCTTCACATCTGCCTGCCCGCCGTACCTTTCTTCATTATTGACAACTTGCAGCTCAGCACACGGCAGATGCCTGCGCAACGCGACTCACGACCTCCTCTTGATACCCAGATCCAGGATGGTCGTGTCTATGCGCCACTTCTCGGTGGCAGCCCCAACAGTCTGGAACACTATCCCTCTGCAGATTCGCAGCATCACCTCAATCACCTCCTTCAAGAGAGACTTAAAAACTCACCTCTATAACCACGCGCTTTAGAGTGACTCTGAGCTTGGCTCCGCGCCTCTCAGTTGCGGCCGTTACATCCGCAAATTTGCGCGCGTTATAAATTGCATTATTATTATTATTATTGTGTGACGAGGCTGGTGGCCGGGGACATGGCGAATGCATGGCACTTGACAAATTCTGAGAGAGACACCAATCATTCTCAACGCTTCATCGATCACAAAGCAACACTTTACCTGATCATCATCCTCAACGACCACCAAGGTCAACTTGGTCCTCTTGAAGTCCAACCTCGTAATTTTGGGCCTTAAAAACAGAGCATGATCCGTGTCAGTAAAAGCTGACGTCAAAACTAACAAAACTGTGACACTGTGCTCAATATATGACAAATATGTGCTCTAAAAGGAGTTGTGATCTTACCAGAAGAAGAGGCCAATTTTGTTTTCTCCCTCAAACACCAAAACCCCAGTGGGTGTGAGCCCCAATGAGTATTCATTGCCATCCCTTCCCTGCAAAGAAAGGCAAAAGAGCTGCTCAGTAAATGCACACATTGGGCATTTTTCACGAAGCAATGTCACCTCCATGTACAGTCCACAACGTAATTGTGATACTAATTATGTTGAACTTTGTTCGCACCGTATGTAGCCAACTGCGCTATATACCTTCACAGAGTGCATGTCCACACCATACATTTCAAGCCACTTTGCCTTGTTCAGGTAATTCAGCTCAGCCTGTGCAGGTGTCTGTCCCCTGTGCAGAAATGGCAGGCATATCAACTTTAGGCATCTTCAACAAAACACACACAGATCTACACTGTATTAGCCAGTCAATGTTACCTCAAGTACATTTGACAGGCATAGTACTGTAACCTTTATTGTCATGAAAAGCGTTTATTGCCTAGTTATTTAGCTCGCAGCCAGTACCGTCGCATCCTATCAATACCCTGCCATGAATCACAGTGCTCTACATCAGAGAGCTCAGCTAATGACTTGTATGCATACCCAAGTCAAATGATAAAGTTTACGACAAAACCAACACAGTAAAAACTAAAGACTGGAGTTCATTGTAAGCAGTACACCGAATACACCCACACAGCGTCGTCCTCAACAAAGTGTACATTGTGTCGTGTTCATTTGAATGTAAAATACAAATTTTAAAATAAATAACATTTTAAGATAACAGCTAAATATTCACTCCATATATGTATACCTTTTGGTTTACGTTACATACTTTACACAAGCTAGATCAGCTCAACTAGAACATCCCTTGCAAATGTGATAGGGGTGCTTTTATTTGTTTTCGGGAAGGTGAGCTTGTAAACCATGAACGGAAATACGAGGGGCCAAAAATATAGGGTTCGTAGTCTTGTTTATTTTGGCCATAGCAGCTGCATATCATGACCACCCAGTGACAGGACAGGACGAGCACATGACGAGCACCTGCACTCCTTCCACTTGTCCAGGATGGCTTCCTCCATCTCCTCCGACTGGCTCGGGATGAAGCGAAACTCTGACACCAACGCAGGGGTGTGCTCCACGGGATCACAGTCTCCCAGCTCCGCTGTGAAAATCACATGCGTGTGTAAGTAATGGGGTCGATAGAGGTGGCACGTACTCATGCAAGACGGCCTATACTTTCCGGTTTAGCGTTATTGTGGTAAGTACTGTTATTGTTATGGTAAGTACTGTTACCGGTTGTGTTGCGATCGAAACATCGTGATATATTGATTTTTTATTAGATTTTTATACCTACGTGACTTTACCGAAAGAACCAAAAAGTATAGATTCCTGCAGTCACGAAAGCTTCAAATCAAGATTCAAATCAAGTACTAATATTGTGGGTACCTATCAAAGCTGGTATGACAGAATTGGAGAAAAGTGTAGCATCCACAATACCCAGATATTTGTGTGTTGCCAGTGATGATGCTCACCTACTGGATCAGGTACACATGTTAAGTTGAATTGACCAAGATGAGACCTGTGATTAGTTAAATTGTCACTTTGGATTGTGTATGGCTAGAGTACTGATGTTGGGACACTGACACTTAGGGCACCGCGGTGGTGAGATGTTAAATATATGCAGTTGTATGCAGGTCATGGGTGCGATCCCAACCCAGATGCCTGTATATTCGTAGTTTGCATGTTTTCCTCGTGGTTACGTGGATTTTTCTCTAGGTCCCCTGGGTTTTCCTTCCACATTTAGAAACATGCGTTTAGAGTATTTGGCTGCTATAAATTTACACATCATAAATTACTGAATTGGGCTATCATTTGTGGCCAAGCCACTTCTGATAAAGCTATATAGCTCAGCAGTGGGCCTTACCTGGTAAAATAAAAAGTTTAGTTTTGCAGTAGCTTCCTACGTACACTTGAAAGTACATGGATGTGGGGACAATCTTACAGTTACAATGGAAGCCAGTTTTCCCGTTGAATTATTTACAAAGAAAGGCTGAAATAAATCTTCAGGCTTTCCATAAAATCAAGGGTTTCATTACTGAACAAGTAAACATACTTTAAAACATTACTTCTCCTATCAGTTCACTGCAAATAGAATTCCAAGCGCAAAGTCAGGGACTAGAGAGTCAATACAAATGTAAAAAGCCACTTTGAACAATCACAAACTGTGCTTAAAATGAAAACAGTGATGATGATAGAAGCCACCAAGATTTCTGACCACAAATATCCAAAAAACAACCATCAAATACAAAAAATCACATTCCTAAATAACACATTGCCTTGAAAAAAGAAAGATATACATAGTTCATGTTTCAGGCAACGGCCTTCTATTAAGGCACTGCGATTGACGAACGTTTTGATCGTTTTAAATTAAATGCCACTGTGCACCACTGCCAACACATCATTAGCAAGTAATTGTTTTAACCATCTAATAAAGAATGGCAGAGGGGCTGCAGGTGAAGTTGCTCAATCAATTGGTGTTGCAGCCTTTATTTTGTTCACATCTTTTCGGCAGACACACCCCGTACACCAACTCGCTCTTGCCCTGTGGTATGTGTGAACGAACCACAAAAGCAGCCCATTTGCTTCATGAGCAGACAAGTACCTGTGCCTGAAGCACTTTGAGGGACTTAACATTACAAAGCTGTACAAATCCAGTTGAGTGGAAAATCTGGCGTTTTGTCAGGATCGCTTGTCTTATTCATCATCGACGTTCATTTACTGCTGAATAAAAGCCTTCCAAAGCCATCGCCATCTTTCACTGTTTGTTTGTGAACTTGAAAGAGTGAAACATCCATCGGCTATTTAGCCAGCATTCAACAATCACTGTATGCAATTTGATTCTTGTAACCTTCCTCCAACCTGCCTAGAAGCACAGACGTCGCACGCTCAGATGACCATTTGCACAAAAAAACGAATACGGTGCACATTAGTGACAAGGAATGGACAGCAAAAATTGTTCGTAGTGGACTATTCAACGGAATGCTCTTCGATTAACAGCAAAAGGGTAACTAAATTATGGGACTGACTTATGTGCACTTCCTTGTGAGAATGTGACGCTTATCTTGCAGGCTTAATTGTTTACGAATGCAGAATAAAGAACTCTGACAGTTGATTTTGCTTAACTATCCTTAACATATTTAGACAGTAGATCAATACTCAGCCGACGTAACATGTGCTGACCAGCATGGTGAAGTATGCTCTAAATAACCCATGTGACCCCCAAGTGGTATGGGGAGGGGCCCTTGTTCAGTGGACTGATTAAAGGGCTGTATGTGAACGAATAAAGATACTGGCCAAGTATTTTATTTATCCTGCTATAAATCCACAACTCACCAGCACACACTGCCCTGTTTGCATAATATTGCCCATGTGTGTATATATAACCTGGACATTTGATTGCAAAAAGAGCCTATATTCAATCAAAACAAGGTACTAAATGCAAATTTACTTCATCACCCTATTTTATCAATGTACATGTAATGTCGGCAATTTACTTTAAAAAAACACCAGAATACCTCTTAAATATCTTTATGGGCAATTCACTCAGCTATATGAATTCTGCTCTGTTCAATTAACTTACAATTGTCTGTTTCAATGTCAATTTGTGTCAATAAAACACAGGTTCAGGTTATTATACGATTTGTGATTTGCCGAGTTGTCAATTGCAATATTTAATACAAAAGGCCAAGGACTCGTTATGACAAAATGTAGAAAGAAAAACAAAGCCAGAGAATAAATAAGAGCACAGAATATAGACAGAGAAATCAATCGCCAATGTATATTCGTTGAACTTCTTTCACACCGTATGTAGCCAACCTTGCTAATCGGAGGTGCAACAATATAATTTAATTTGACATTTTCATTGCCAAGTTAGTTTCATAAAATGACCAAAAAATTTCCAAACACCATTTCCCGCGCGACTTACCCTGCAGACTGTAGGTTGCCAACTGCACGGCCGTTTCAAAGGGACATTCGAGCCTGCAGACAAATACCACATCAGAAGTCAGCACATGAAGTGCAAAATGTGGTAGCAAGAGGGGCTAGTATCAACTAAGAAAATGTGCACAGATTTTGACAATCGAGGGGCTGCTGGTACACCAAGGGCACTCCACAGATGGCAGAGGGAATTATTGGAGCCAACTGCAATTCCAAGCACTTCACATATCAAGTGACTCTCAAAGCGCACAGGCTGAACCTCATCTCAGCAACTATGCAATATAACATTCACAGCGGACGCTTTTGATGTTCACGAGCATTGCGGACGGCTGTAGCACAACCTTGCACATAAAGATAAAAAATGTAAGTCTTACTTTCCAGAGAGAATGTCCTGCTTGAGCTGGAGAACAAACAGGTACCTAGAAGAGAACAGAAAAGAGACTTATGGAGTAAGGGCCTGATGTTTGTGATGCATGCCGCCACATTTTTTTTGTCATCCCCAAGAGCTCTTAAACTACCACCAAACAATTAATGCATTGATCGAGAACTCGAAATTACATGAATCATTGACCAACGTTTCAGCTCTGCACGCAAACTCAAACGGCAAAATAAGTATGCCATGCGAAGTTCAGCCCACTTTTATTACAGCAGCCGTTGAGTATGTCAACAGGAACGCTTGCGCAATTACTTGCAATGAGGATATGATTGACACCTCCCATATGGTTTCAACAAAACCAAAAATATCTGATCATGCATAAGTCATTCTGAGAACAATGGCACATTTGCCTTCCAGCACAAGACATGTATAACATCTAACGATACAATTCAACTTTGCAACGTTCTTTCAAATGCAGGAACCCAGGCTCTGATCGCGTGTAGCGTCGACTAGTAAAGCAACAAGCTGTACAAACCATTTGTGCGCATCAACGGCAGCCTCTGCTACACAGCCGGCACTCGGCATGCCAAACACTACACATGCAACCCAGTGCACATTAAACTGTGCTCACAATGGAGGGTGTTTTTTTTTTACACATTATTATTTAAGAAAAACTCCTAAGTTTGGGGATAGTCACAAAAGACTGCCTGGAAATTGTCCAATAATACAATAAAAAATTGTACAACGCTGCATCTTGTTTCCTAACCGTTTACAGCACCCCAAAACTTCGAGTTTTAACGACGATGACCGCCCCTTCCTGTTTTACCGGCATAAAAGACCACATGTGCATGTTCTGCAAGCATGGCCCTAATTTCCTGCAAAGGGGAAGGGGGGCAGTGGAGAGCCGGCACCATGTCTGGCTGCCATCGCCCAACATGACACTTCCAAGACGGGCGCCCCAAGTGAGGGAAACCGAGGTGAGCACCTGGTGAGCTCCTCGTGCAGGTTGTTCGGCTCCGAGGAGTAGAACTTGACACGCATGTGGAAGCAGTAGGGAGGGCCGACTGCATGCAGCGAAGAGAGCACGGAATTGTGAATGGCAAAGTTTGTAAAGCCACCGCAGTGCAATGTTAGCTCGGCAGACCTCTCTCCTGGGCTCTTTCCTTCCTTTAGCTGTTCTAAAAGTTCAAGGGTGTTTAGTGAATGTATTTAAATATAGCACTTCTACTTATGAACTCTAAATATTTCAATAACATTTTAAGTAAATAAATGCATGTGCAATACATGTAGTTAATGGAAATCTATATGGCTGAATGGTCTACTGTCAAACATCCATTAACCAAACCAGCTTGGTAAAGCAGTAACATTCCTTACTTTTTACTTGTTTCCGAATGTTCTTGGTGTGATCCAGCCAGTGCTGCATGAAAACAAATCATAATTGTAAAACAATCCAATATGACAGGCACACATTAGAATGATAAATAGTGCCAATAAACTAAAGCACTTCATATTGTTAATATTCTGCTATGTTTCTGTCATAATAAAAAAAATGAAATGTATTTTTTTTACCCAAAAAGCCTCACTTAGTCCCAGAATTAGTTTAGGAGGGTTCTGGAAGGAAAAATGTTGGCAATGCATTTTTTTTTTGCATTTCGGGGAAAACCAGAATTTCTAGGGCAAATCCCCGTGAGAAGATAACAATCAAAACTCCTTCAAAGATATTAGCAATCTACTTGCTGTGCTATCTCTCAAAGGCACCTTGTGTTTATACAGGTTGGTGTATATCAAACATGATGATGCATGCGCCTACCATCCCCGCCTCAAAAATAACAGATTGCAGAAATGCTCCTACTGATCCAGAGAGATTACGTCAAAACATTAATGCATTTTTTTACCGAACAACTGTCAATAAAGATCTGTACAGAAATTCTGTGAAAATTAAAAAATAAAATCCATTATTGTGTCTGCTGCTGACACTGGAATGAGATTGTGAAAGGCTCCCTTACGGAGACTTGTGCCGAGTCCATGAATTGCAGGCCGAAGTAGTCGACCTCCAGGATGTCCAGGTGGTACATCACTTGATCAAAGAGGTCTTGGCCCACCGCCTTTTTCTGCGCAACGACAACATGCTACCTTCATGAGAAAGAACGCTTTAGAGTGGCCATAAGCATGCGCTTTCCTTTCTGCCATCTGGGTTAGGAATACATGTGCAGCAACATCCAAGTGGAGCCAGAAATATACCGCCACGAAAGACACTTTTCCACAAAGAGGTGGCGACATACAAGTATATCCGGGCAGGTGTCAATGTGACAACACGTCGGACTCACGATTAGATGTCAGTGCAAATTCCAATTGGGGGTTGACTTAGCCTATAATCTCTCACAAACCAATTAAATGCAAACTTATTTGCGATAAGTCAACGCAGTGGTCTACAGACTAGATACAGGAACAGTAGTGTGGAATTTCCATCACTGGCTCAAAACTGGCAAATGGCAAGGAAGGTGTGCACTGCCCTTTATTCGTTTGAGTCTTGGGATACACTTCGATGTTGATATAGGCGTGCGTAATTAGAATGCTTCATTCGTAATGGTCTTTGCCGTATAGTAGTTTGTATTGTTAACATTTTATTAGAATCGTACAACATAATTTTGCCAAATACAGTAACCATAACAAGGTTAAACATCGAGAATGCGGGGTGATGATGAAGCAAGACTTCACCCAAAATACACATTTATCCTTCACCTACACTAGTACTGTGTACACGACGCAGCGCTTCCGTAAGTGGCGTTTTATATGAACGATGATGACAAGCAACACGCTGGGTGACAGTACTGGCTCAGCCAGTCGGAGGGATTAGCGCAATCCCACAGCACAGGCTACTACTACTGTATGTGGCACAATATTACAGAATTATAGACTTTATTACGATATGGATTTGAACATAATAAGCTCAGATTGCATTTTCCGCATACAAGGTGAAACTGTGCTGATGTGAGCCAGTATATTTGAGTGTTGCGGCCACGTAAACTCGGTGTCTGCTTCACGATGCAATGCGATCAGTGGTGTATTCATGTTAAAATGTCATCGAAGCTCATGGTTGATGCCGCTGCAAGAGGTTTTCAGCAACAAGTTTCGTTTGAGGACTAGATGGTAACCGGTTGGCTAAATCGAGTCTTGCACGTGCTGGCGTAGGTGGAATGCTGCCAGATATAAATAAAGACAAGTCACGCTATGTACTTTTTTTCTTAAACTTTTGAATAAGGCTTTGAATGAAAGCCTCCAATGACGTGCTTGCATATGCCTAGGTTCGTTAAGATGTCTTCATTTTGTACTCGCTTGTCAACGTAAAAATAATACCGGCAAAAAAAAGACCTGACACCAGCAACATTATGGGAAGGCAATACTTCCGTGGCCTATTGAGTCACAGGAAAGTGTCTAGGTCATGAACAGATCTGGCACACGGTCTTTAATTACGGGACACCCTCTGTGAAGATGATAAAGTTACATGCATGTGATTGTATTGCAACGTCGGATGTTGCGCGAGAGAGGCTTAAAATGTATTTACTACATTAGCATGTCTGTTTACTGATTAACGACATCCTATATCACGAAGGAGGGGCACCACAGTCAAAGCAGTTACTGTCCAAAGTCCAAAACAATGCACATTTAGGTTGCAAGGTGCAATCTGTCAGCCAAACAGCACAAATTCGGGGCAGTTTTCAAGGTTTGGTTGCCGAGTCCAATTGTTATGCAAAAACGTGGGCTACCTGGAATTTCCAGACCAAGGTGAGATGTGACAAACATGTTTGTCTGAACACGGAGTGCTTTCGAATGAAACATTCACTCCACTGCCCCACCCCCCCGATGGAGCACCTGGGGAATTCCAGGCTGACTCATATTTGATCCAATTACAGATATTTCTTGTTCAACCCAAGGTAAATATAACAGGCCAATTTCATTGGGAAAACTTGTTAAACAGATTGTAATTACGTAAGTGTAAAACCAGAAAAGGGAATAATCTGTCACTAACGCTTGCTAAGACGACACAAGGAAAGAAAACGGCGTGGCCTACTGTGGGAAATGTCCCTGCAAATCACTTTGCATGACAAATGTAACCTGTGAACTCAAAGACCGATTTGTCCAGGATACCCCACAGACATACAAAAGATGAAAAAAGTGCAAATCGCCAACATTTATCACGCCAGGTGCTTTAAAACAAAGTGGTTCCGCAAGTCACAAGGTGAAGCTTTGGACCGTGCAAACATCACTGGGTGCCATGGTAAATGATGCTAATGATCCGTGGCAGGAACCTTCGAGCCAACACACTCCAGGATAACAAGCGTGGCGAGCGTGGGCATGCCAAGAAACAATAATCACTATCCCATGCTGCTTTACACGCATAACTTTATTCATTAACATGGATAGTTAGAGGGCATGGTTTGCATGGCTCTCCCGAGCGAAAGCAACCAGATATTTCCTGATGGCTTTTCTTTGTATTTGGCTGGCTAAAAAAATGCAGGCCAACTGCCACTTTTATTGACAAAAGATTGCATTTAAAATTAGTCAAATAAATGACAGGACATCACCAGTGCAGTAAAAAAATGCCAATAATGATGCAAGTATTACTTAGTTCTGGTGCCTGGTGACAGTGGAGCGTGTTTAAACAAATAAACCACGAATGCAGCCCTCAATCGCTTGCGCTTCGTGCATCTCCATCTGTAACCGAGTTACGTGGCGGGTTGAGAACTAAACGCACGAGGCACGACCACACAATTGCCCACACAAAAGCCACGAGCAAAAGCCACGAGCAAAAGCCACAGCAACCACCAATCACATCCGTTCATAGCTACGGCAACTGAGCCAAAGACGCAGGCAGCAGCCACAGCCAGCCCACGTCTCCCAAGCGGTCACAGTCACAGGACGTAGACACTACGGACTTGGTCAAAACGGCACAGAGATACGCTTTGTGCCAATACCAAAGCCACCACAGACGCCACCACAGCCACCTGCCACTTGCTAAGGCGAGATTCGGAGAGGGCCTCAACACGGCAGTGGGTCATCCATCATCCCCAGAATCCCAGAGGTAGCCGTGAGGCCAGGTGGGTGGGTGGGTGGTGGGGGAGGCCCCCTGTGTGCCAACTAACCGGGGAAGGAGGTACAGGATAAGAAGGAAGAAGAGTAAGGAGGTGGTAACGATGAATGTCGAAGAGCACAAAGAGGAGGAAATGGTGGATAGCTGAGAGGTGTTGGAGAAGAAAGAGATGGTTGCGAGTGAAGTGAATACTCGAAAAATAATCAGGGTCGGTTGGACGGAAAGGTGGACGAGTTGCAGCAGGAGGTAGGAATGTTTGAGGTCAATGAAGACGTAAAGAAAGAGGAAGTAGAAAGAGGAATGACGTGCTTGTCGTCAGAGGTGCACAAGCTGAATGAGGTGTTGGAGGAAGAGTGAGTGATACAGGAGGGAAGGAGACCGTCTCGTATGGAATCCAAGTGTCGCTGATGGTGTAGAGATGTGTCACAGCGAGGAGGAGGAGGTGAGAGCGAGGAGGTGAGAGAGCGAGGAGGAGGAGGTGAGAGCGAGGAGGAGGTGAGAGGGAGGTGAGAGAGATGAGAGAGGTGAGAGAGAGGAGGAGGTGACAGAGAGATGAGAGAGGAGGAGGTGAGAGAGATGAGAGAGGTGAGAGAGAGGAGGAGGTGACAGAGAGATGAGAGAGGAGGTGAGAGAGATGAGGAGGTGAGAGATGAGGTGAGAGCGCGGAGGAGGTGAGAGAGAGAGCGACGGACGCGTCTCGCACCGGCAGCTCCACGGTGATGTCGGAGCCGTCGAGCAGCGAGACGCGGCAGGTGATGGGGTCCCTCGCGTCCCCAGCCGCGGGGATGTGCGCCGCGGCCTCCACGGGGCCGGCCTTGCCCTGTCCGTGCCCGTGTCCATGCCCGTGGCCGTGGCCGTGGCCCTGACCGTGGCCCGGTCCCTGGCCCGGTGGCCGGACCGGACCTCTGGTGAAGGTCCGTCGCAAGAAGTTCATCTCTCCCTCCACCTCAACCAAGCCTCCCCCCCTCCCCTACCGCTTCTTCAGGGCGGCTCTGCTCGGCTCGTCCTTGGCGCGGTGTCGGCGTGGAGCTGTGCCCCCGCGAGGTTGCGATGAGAGGGCGAGAGACGAGGGGGGAGCGAGCGAGCGAGCAGCAACAGGACGATGATGAATCCGCGGTGCGCGCCTGACGGTAACTCGCGCTGCGTCGTCTCCTCCGCCACCACCGCCACCACAGCACCAGCCACAGCAGCAGCAGCGCGGTCTACGCATGCGCCACGCAGAGCGGCGCCGGACGTGACGGCACCACTCGCAGAGGCCACCCCCCCAATCTCCCCCCCACCCCCCCAATCTCCCCCCCACCCCCCCCCAATCTCCCCCCCCACCCCCCCCCAATCTCCCCCCCCACCCCCCCATCTCACCTCCCCTCTCACCTCACCCCCCCCATCTCACCCCCCCCATCTCACCTCCCATCTCACCCCCCCCCATCTCACCTCCCATCTCACCCCCCCCCATCTCACCCCCCCCCATCTCACCTCCCATCTCACCTCCCCCTATCTCACCCCCCTATCTCACCCCCCCTATCTCACCCCCCCTATCTCACCCCCCCCCTATGTCACCCCCCCCCTATCTCACCCCCCCTATCTCACCCCCCCTATCTCACCCCCCCTATCTCACCCCCCCCCTATCTCACCCCCCTATCTCACCCCCCCTATCTCACCCCCCCCCTATGTCACCCCCCCTATCTCACCCCCCCTATCTCACCCCCCCCTATGTCACCCCCCCCCCTATCTCACCCCCCCTATCTCACCCCCCCTATCTCACCCCCCCCTATGTCACCCCCCCTATCTCACCCCCCCTATCTCACCCCCCCCCATCTCACCCCCCCCATCTCACCTCCCATCTCACCCCCCCCCCATCTCACCTCCCATCTCACCCCCCCCATCTCACCCCCCCCCATCTCACCTCCCATCTCACCTCCCCCTATCTCACCCCCCTATCTCACCCCCCCTATCTCACCCCCCCCCTATGTCACCCCCCCCTATCTCACCCCCCCTATCTCACCCCCCCCTATGTCACCCCCCCTATCTCACCCCCCCTATCTCACCCCCCCCCTATCTCACCCCCCCCTATGTCACCCCCCCCCTATCTCACCCCCCCTATCTCACCCCCCCTATCTCACCCCCCCTATCTCACCCCCCCCCTATCTCACCCCCCCCTATCTCACCCCCCCCTATGTCACCCCCCCCCTATCTCACCCCCCCTATCTCACCCCCCCCCCTATCTCACCCCCCCTATGTCACCCCCCCCTATGTCACCCCCCCCCTATCTCACCCCCCCCTATGTCACCCCCCCCCTATCTCACCCCCCCTATCTCACCCCCCCCCCCCTATGTCACCCCCCCCCTATCTCACCCCCCTATCTCACCCCCCCTATCTCACCCCCCCCCCTATGTCACCCCCCCCTATCTCACCCCCCCTATCTCACCCCCCCCCCTATGTCACCCCCCCCCTATCTCACCCCCCCTATCTCACCCCCCCTATCTCACCCCCCCTATGTCACCCCCCCTATCTCACCCCCCCTATCTCACCCCCCCATCTCACCCCCCCCATCTCACCCCCCCCCATCTCACCTCCCATCTCACCTCCCCCTATCTCACCCCCCTATCTCACCCCCCCTATCTCACCCCCCCCCCTATGTCACCCCCCCCTATCTCACCCCCCCCTATCTCACCCCCCCCTATGTCACCCCCCCCCCCCTATCTCACCCCCCCTATCTCACCCCCCCTATCTCACCCCCCCTATGTCACCCCCCCTATCTCACCCCCCCTATCTCACCCCCCCCCATCTCACCCCCCCCATCTCACCTCCCATCTCACCCCCCCCCATCTCACCTCCCATCTCACCCCCCCCATCTCACCCCCCCCCATCTCACCTCCCATCTCACCTCCCCCTATCTCACCCCCCTATCTCACCCCCCCTATCTCACCCCCCCCCTATGTCACCCCCCCCTATCTCACCCCCCCCTATCTCACCCCCCCCTATGTCACCCCCCCCTATCTCACCCCCCCTATCTCACCCCCCCCTATGTCACCCCCCCCTATCTCACCCCCCCTATCTCACCCCCCCCTATCTCACCCCCCCCTATCTCACCCCCCCCTATGTCACCCCCCCCTATCTCACCCCCCTATCTCACCCCCCCTATCTCACCCCCCTATCTCACCCCCCCCTATCTCACCCCCCCCCCTATCTCACCCCCCCCTATGTCACCCCCCCCCCTATCTCACCCCCCCTATCTCACCCCCCCCCTATCTCACCCCCCCTATGTCACCCCCCCCCTATGTCACCCCCCCCCTATCTCACCCCCCCCTATGTCACCCCCCCCCTATCTCACCCCCCCTATCTCACCCCCCCCCCCCCTATGTCACCCCCCCCTATCTCACCCCCCTATCTCACCCCCCTATCTCACCCCCCCCCTATGTCACCCCCCCCTATCTCACCCCCCCTATCTCACCCCCCCTATCTCACCCCCCCCCTATGTCACCCCCCCTATCTCACCCCCCTATCTCACCCCCCTATCTCACCCCCCCTATCTCACCCCCCCTATCTCACCCCCCCCCTATGTCACCCCCCCCTATCTCACCCCCCTATCTCACCCCCCCTATCTCACCCCCCCCCTATGTCACCCCCCCCCTATCTCACCCCCCCTATCTCACCCCCCCTATCTCACCCCCCCTATGTCACCCCCCCTATCTCACCCCCCCTATCTCACCCCCCCCCATTTCACCCCCCCCATCTCACCTCCCATCTCACCTCCCCCTATCTCACCCCCCCTATCTCACCCCCCCCCATTTCACCCCCCCCATCTCACCTCCCATCTCACCCCCCCCCATCTCACCTCCCATCTCACCTCCCCCTATCTCACCCCCCCTATCTCACCCCCCCCCTATGTCACCCCCCCCCTATCTCACCCCCCCTATCTCACCCCCCCCTATGTCACCCCCCCCTATCTCACCCCCCCTATCTCACCCCCCCCCCATCTCACCTCCCATCTCACCCCCCCCATCTCACCCCCCCCCATCTCACCTCCCATCTCACCCCCCCCATCTCACCCCCCCCCATCTCACCTCCCATCTCACCTCCCCCTATCTCACCCCCCTATCTCACCCCCCCTATCTCACCCCCCCCTATGTCACCCCCCCCTATCTCACCCCCCCTATCTCACCCCCCCCTATGTCACCCCCCTATCTCACCCCCCCTATCTCACCCCCCCCCTATCTCACCCCCCCCTATCTCACCCCCCCTATGTCACCCCCCCCCTATCTCACCCCCCCTATCTCACCCCCCCCCCCTATCTCACCCCCCCTATGTCACCCCCCCCCTATTCACCCCCCCCCTATCGCACCCCCCCCTATGTCACCCCCCCCTATCTCACCCCCCCTATCTCACCCCCCCCCCCCCCTATGTCACCCCCCCCCTATCTCACCCCCCTATCTCACCCCCCCTATCTCACCCCCCCCCTATGTCACCCCCCCCCTATCTCACCCCCCCTATCTCACCCCCCCTATCTCACCCCCCCCCTATGTCACCCCCCCCTATCTCACCCCCTATCTCACCCCCCTATCTCACCCCCCCTATCTCACCCCCCCTATCTCACCCCCCCCCTATGTCACCCCCCCCTATCTCACCCCCCTATCTCACCCCCCCTATCTCACCCCCCCCCTATGTCACCCCCCCCCTATCTCACCCCCCCTATCTCACCCCCCCTATCTCACCCCCCCTATGTCACCCCCCCTATCTCACCCCCCCTATCTCACCCCCCCCCATTTCACCCCCCCCATCTCACCTCCCATCTCACCTCCCCCTATCTCACCCCCCCTATCTCACCCCCCCCATTTCACCCCCCCCATCTCCCATCCCATCTCACCCCCCCCCCCATCTCACCTCCCATCTCACCTCCCCCTATCTCACCCCCCCTATCGCACCCCCCCCCTATGTCACCCCCCCCTATTCAACCCCCCCTATCTCACCCCCCCCTATGTCACCCCCCCCCTATCTCACCCCCCTATCTCACCCCCCCCCATCTCACCCCCCCCCATCTCACCTCCCATCTCACCCCCCCCCATCTCACCTCCCATCTCACCCCCCCCATCTCACCCCCCCCCATCTCACCTCCCATCTCACCTCCCCCTTCTCACCCCCCTATCTCACCCCCCCTATCTCACCCCCCCCCCTATGTCACCCCCCCCTATCTCACCCCCCCTATCTCACCCCCCCCCTATGTCACCCCCCCCTATCTCACCCCCCCCCTATCTCACCCCCCCCTATCTCACCCCCCCTATGTCACCCCCCCCCCTATCTCACCCCCCCCTATCTCACCCCCCCCTATCTCACCCCCCCTATCTCACCCCCCCCCTATCTCACCCCCCCCTATCTCACCCCCCCCTATGTCACCCCCCCCCTATCTCACCCCCCCTATCTCACCCCCCCCCTATCTCACCCCCCCTATGTCACCCCCCCCCCTATGTCACCCCCCCCCCTATCTCACCCCCCCCTATGTCACCCCCCCCCTATCTCACCCCCCCTATCTCACCCCCCCCCCCTATGTCACCCCCCCCCTATCTCACCCCCCTATCTCACCCCCCCTATCTCACCCCCCCCCTATGTCACCCCCCCCTATCTCACCCCCCCTATCTCACCCCCCCCCTATGTCACCCCCCCCTATCTCACCCCCCTATCTCACCCCCCTATCTCACCCCCCCTATGTCACCCCCCCTATCTCACCCCCCCTATCTCACCCCCCCCCTATCTCACCCCCCCCTATCTCACCCCCCCCTATGTCACCCCCCCCTATCTCACCCCCCCCCCTATCTCACCCCCCCTATCTCACCCCCCCCCTATCTCACCCCCCCCTATCTCACCCCCCCCTATCTCACCCCCCCCTATCTCACCCCCCCCTATCTCACCCCCCTATCTCACCCCCCTATCTCACCCCCCCCTATCTCACCCCCCCCCTATCTCACCCCCCCCTATCTCACCCCCCCTATCTCACCCCCCCCCCTATCTCACCCCCCCTATGTCACCCCCCCCCCTATGTCACCCCCCCCCTATCTCACCCCCCCCTATGTCACCCCCCCCTATCTCACCCCCCCTATCTCACCCCCCCCCCTATGTCACCCCCCCCCTATCTCACCCCCCCCTATGTCACCCCCCCCCCCCTATCTCACCCCCCCTATCTCACCCCCCCCTATCTC